ATGAGTCTTGTCAAAGATAATGCCCTTCCGTTACATTTCGTCTGGCGATGCTCTTCATGCTAAACTTCAAATATCATCACAAAGAAAATGATTCGGTAAGTGATTTCCTTCTAATTCTACTCACCCAGTAACTTCATTACAGAGAGAACACATTTTTCCAAGAACAAAAACTATCCGTACAAAAAATAGTACACATAGCGGCGGATTGGGTCGAAAGTCCAGGACGAAACAACGAAAGAACAGCTTCGTTGCATGGAGTCACGACTTCGACGATTGTTAATCTCAACAAACTTTTCCGACAATTGACGGAGCAATGGTTCGAGCGACAAATTGAAAAAAATTCAAATTTTCTGCTTGGTGGACCAGGTAGTTAGTAATTTTTTCCAGAATAAAATAGTCACTTTCAGGGAAAATCGTCGAAATCGACGAAAGTCACATGTATAAAGCGAAATACAACCGTGGGCACATGCTAAGAAGAAAATCTATCTGGATATTTGGCATGACTGAACGTCACACAAATAAAGTGAGTGACTCTTGATATAACGTTCTTAGAAGCTATACTTATTCAACAATGTATTATTGATCATATAATTTCTTTGAAAAACACTCATAAAAGATAGTATTGTGTTTAAATCACTTCCAGAGCTCATAGTTTTTTACATGGGCAAGATGGAAAACATCGCTTCATTGGTATTTAATTTGTTTTTTAAGGTGGCAATGTTCCGCGTGAAGCAACGAGATGCAGCAACTCTACTCCCGATCATTAGAGCACATGTCAAACCAGGTAAGAAAAAAAAATACATCCTGCTCAGCTCAATTTTGTCTACTTCAGGCTCTATGATTGTATCCGATGGTTGGGCCGCCTACGGAGGCATCAGAACCCTCCAGAGAGCGTTTACACACAGATGGGTCAATCACAAAGTAAACTTTGTTGACCCCAGCGATCGACGAGTTCACACTCAGTCTATTGAAGCCACATGGGGTGCTTTCAAACGGGAACTCAAAGCGAAATATGGCGTCCCAGAAGATCAACTCGACGGATACATGTCGACATACATGTTTAGACGATACTTCGGAAGAAAAAAACTTCTGAACCACCTTCTGATCGAGATGAAGTATTATAAGAAAGAAGATGACTATGATTCAAGTGAATCTGAAATCTCCACGGATGAAAGCTCTGATTACGACGGCGGTGAAGACGAGTCCGATTCCAGCGACCCGAATCATGGAGACGACGATGATGAAGACGGAGCAGATAGTACAGTTGATGATAATAATGGCTATGATGATGATGATGACAATAATGGCGATGATGATAATGATGACAATAATGACTATGAAGATAATGGTGATAATAATGATGATGATGATTATGATGATGACGATATCCAAAACGAGGATGAATCAGAGTTTGAGGAAGAGCAGGAGGGAGAGCAAGAAGAAGAACAGGACGAAGAGCAGGACGAAGAGAAGGAGGATGAGGAGCAGGATGAGGAGCAGGATAAGGAGCAGGACGAGGAGCAGGAAAAGAATCAGGAAGATGAGTACGAAGATGAACAGGAAGAGGAAGATCAATTGACTGAAGCACCGACCACGAAAATCTTCAGAAAAAGAAAACAGTTCGATTCTGATAGAGTTTCATTTGCTCCCAAACAACGAAATGAAAGAAACAATCGCGCCTTTACATTTTCAACAAGACAAACCACAATGGCTGCTCGTTTGAATCGAAATAGAAACGATCGTCGAAGTTCTTCTACCGCTTCTACAATGAGAACCACCACCTCTTCTAAGCCAGAAATGATTATCAAAACCAACAGACCAATTTCGTCAACTACACCAAGGCAAACGACGACCAAAACTCGAAAACCTCGGAAGAAGACACAAAGTCGAAAAGCTGATCCTACAACCACCATCACAACCACAGCAACCATGAGGACCACGACCACCATGAGAACAAGACGAACAACTTCCCATCAGTCGAGACGAACCACGACAGAACCTCGTACGAAACGGACGACGTCTGCCCCTGAAACGAGACAAACAACCATCACCACTCAGAAGACTCGGAATGATAGAAGAAGACGCGGGCGGCCCACTACCACCACTCCAAGATCGACTACCATTACTCCAAGATTCACAACCACTACTCTAAAATCCACTTTCACCGGCCGAAGGAAGTTCAAAGGACGCGGATAAGATCATCTTGTTGCAACCGATATTCTTTTTTTTTGTGTTCTGAACTATTTATCCTCTCTAATTCTTATATGCCACACCTTTTAGTCTTATACCTTCTTCTGAATAAAAATCAAAATTACAAAAAAAATTATTTTTAAAACATCAAAACTATTGAAAACATGATTAAAATAAATAAACGTTTCAATCTAACCAAATTTTCAAACAAAAACATGAAAGCTATTCAAATACCCACATCTTTCTTTAAGGACCAGAATTTTTTTTAAGGACCAGAATTTTTTTTTAAGGACCAGAATTTTTTCTAAGGACCAGAATTTTTTTTAAGGACCAGAATTTTTTTAAGGACCAGAATTTTTTTTAAGGACCAGAATTTTTTCTAAGGACCAGAATTTTTTTTAAGGACCAGAATTTTTTCTAAGGACCAGAATTTTTTTTAAGGACCAGAATTTCATACTAGAGCCAAAAAGTGGACTGGTTTTTTAAGTAGGGGGACATGAAAGCTTTCGGGTTAGACTAGTTGGGTACCCTGAATTTCAAAAAAAAACTCGAAAATTAGATTACTGTAGGTATACGGTACCTACAGTAACTCATGTTTTGGATATCAGCGCAGAATGAACCATTCGACTTGCAAGTTTAAGGGTAGCTTAGTTGGGTACCCTGGACCCTGGATCTCTAAAAGTTCCAAAAATGAGACGACTTTAGATATACGGTATCTACAGTAACCCATTTTTTGTAACTAATAGTTAGTCCAGATCGAACCAATCGATTTGTAAATTTCAGAGGTGGCTAGTTGGGTACCCTGAACCTCAATAAAATTTTTATAAATGAGACTACTGTCGGTATACGGACCCTACAGTAATCCATTATTTGCAACCTGTTGACTTCAAAATTTGAGTTTAACATGGTAGGGTTTCCTGAACTTCGAAAAGTAGTTTCAAAAATAAGATTACTGTAGGTAAACGTCCACGAGGACTACACGGACAAATTTTCTGGCCTTTCTGTCTGTTTTACTAGATTTTTAGACGGTTTCGGAACCAGTTTGAAATGGTCGGTTCTGCAACGTCGAAGTTCTAACGGTGCTGTTTAAAACAGCTCCGTGCCGATTGATGTACTGTATGCAAAAAAAGAGTGCAAATCTACAAAACTACAATTTTATGAAAATCTGTTTTTTTTCGAGAATATCTTCAATGAAATCAATTGGAAGGTGCATGCCTTTTGAAATTGAAATTTAAAGGTGGGGGGACAGGAGATTTTTCGTAGTTTTTTTGTAGCTAGAGTATGCATTCTACCGTCACGGTGTACAATGCTTAATGTCACTCTGCGTACAGCTGTCGTCCTCGCCTTTATGTATGCAATCGGGCGTGCGCTTTCTCTTTGCCCGCGTGGCTCAGCCGGTAGCGGCGCCGCACCCTCAATCATCGCCTTCACAAGTTCAACTCCTCGAGAGGCATCTTTGAACGGAATTTCGAGAACATTATTTTTTCATGTCCCCCCCCCCCTTTAAACAGCAGGTTATAAAACTTCATTTTCCAAAATGTAAAAGAACGAAAATACATTTTAAGAGGTTCAATGTAACTCTGCAGCTCCGTTCTTTGCCTCAATATATTGCCGGAGACGTCTGATCATAACGTAGTAACCGTAATGAACTGAAATTTTTTGTATATTTCAAATGTCAACCTGAATAACAAACATGCTGCCGAAATCACCATCCCAATCGCGACTGGTAACATTTCTGTGAAATCTGCGAGAAGCAAATAAACAGCAACAACGATCGCCAATCCAGTCAAGAAAATCATAACTTTGCCGCATACGTTGAGAAGCGAGCCATTGTAGTAATAGCTGCCTGCTAGAATGACGCCGAAAAGGGCCAAACCGACTACACTTACAGCGCTCATGGCTAGACATGATCCAATGAGGCCAAGAATCGATAAGGTGATGAGAGTTCCACGAACTGGAAGACAACCAAGTTTTGGCTCTTCCAGGTTTTGATTGATGGTAGAAGACATACTGGAAATAGAAGTGAGTGACTTTGGCTTTGAAGTTGATAGAGAGAAATGATTGTAATTGAATATTCCAGCTGCTCTCCTTAAAAATTCAATAACATTTCTTATAACGAGTTTAGCAGAACAGCTGGAAATTTTCAGGAGAACAACCACTCTGGTTTCTATCCAATTGAAAAAAATCGATTTATGTTTGACAGATATTGAACGGAAATCATGAAATAAACTATTCAAGAGATTGTTGAGGGACCCAAAATTTCATCGTTGGACCCGTAAACATTGGCAGGTGCCACAGAATTATTTCGCAATATCCTTTTCATTATCCAAATTTTGAAGTTTCTTATTGATAATAGTTGTTTGAGAAGCACCACATTACGCCTGTTGCAAAGAAGATAAGAAATTTGAATAAATACTGGTGTAGATAACATATCGATAATGTATAAAACCACTATTAAATATTCCTGTGTTTTGTCAATCTGAAAATATGAAGGTCAAAGAGATTTATATGCGAAGAGTATAAGAGGATGTCTCGAGACGCAAACACATTTTCTTTGCGCAATTTGGAAAAGTTTTTGAACAAAATTCCCAATGCCTCACATGTTCCGCGGGTAGTTGCTCTATAGAATCGACGTTCACCCAAACCACTGCCAAAACCGTTATCTGAAAATTGTACTCTTTTTTCGAAATGTCAGGTACCAGTCGGTTTACGCTCCTTCGGGGCTAAACCTTCTGGCCTCCGGTTACAGTACCTTCACCGCATAAAGAGGTTCCGTCACTTTTTAAGGGCTTATTTTTTTCATGGTCCAATATGGTCGGAAATTCGGAAACTTGGAAATTCACTATTTCAAAATTTTCTAATTCGGATACTCAGAAATGTTGTAATTTCTGAAAATAAGATCAATACTAACGACAAACACTAAAATCCGTATGTTAGTATGCATGTCAAGACCCTTTTCACTCACTCAAAATTAATTGTTTGAGCTGAAAGCTATTCAGGTATTCACTTTGAAATTTGAAAACTTTAGATTTTCATCATTGCTGAAATTTCGAACCTAAATCTTCGAGTTTGAACTCAATTTCTCAACTTTCTCAACTTCTTGAATTATGAATTTTCTAAATTCTGGAATGCGGAATTTCTAATTCCAAAATTACAGAAACTCAGAATTTCAGAATAGGAAATTAGAAATATTGAATGTTTCAGAGTTTCAACACAGGTGATTCGCGAACAATCCGTTACGGACGCTCAGCGTTCGCGCGCGGTTGAAATAGGAACCGTATACGGACCGCACGCGACCCGTTTTCAGAAAACCACAGCACATTATTTCGTATTTCTCCGTATTCTATCCGTTTGCGAGCTCCGTATCCGATCCGATTGCATTTTAAACTTTTGTCTGATTCGCGAACGGATCCGTTTGTCCATCATTCGCAAGCGGATCGGATACGGAGTTCGCGAACGGACAGAATACGGAGGAATACGGAATAATGTGCTATGGTTTTCTGAAAACGGGTCGCGTGCGGTCCGTATGCGGTTCCTATTTCAATCGCGCGAGAACGCTGAGCGTCCGTAACGGGATCCCCGTTGCATTTTACCTGTGAAATTTCAAAAATTCTGAAAAACATGTAGATTTTGATTTGAAAAATTCTTCTGACATCCGTGGTCAGCATGTTCTAAAGTATCTTTTTACACACTTTTAGCGCATTCTAATCCGGTGTCTTAAAAACGTTCCCTTGTAAGTTTCAAAACTACGGAGTTTTGAAATTTCCAAATTATTCATTTCACAATTTCTCTGAACTTCTATGTTTTTATATCTCAGAAGGTTGATCCCCGAGGGGACGTAAACCGACTGGAATTCAGACGTTTGAGAACTGAACTTTTGAATTCCTAATTTTCTAAACTTTTAAGTTTTCGAGTCTTAAATTTTCCGAACTTTCAAAATTGTTAAGGTTCAGAATCTAGATTATTTTTTTCAATATTCAGAAAATGAGAAACTTGAAAACTGCTGAATTAAGAATCTCTGAAATTCGAAAGTTGTAAACCTCGAAAATTTAGGAACTCTGAGATTCCAAATGTCCAAATTCGAAAACTCGAAATTTAGTAAGGTTGGATTTTCAGAATTCCGGAAATTGAAGAAATCTAATTTCCGATGCTCTACGATGTCATTGAAACCCATAAGAAAGACATTACATACAATCTTTTTCACTTCTGAACTCTCTTCAAAAACCAAAAAAAGTTGCCACCGGTCGGACTCAAACCCGCGTAGCGAGCGCAAAGGCGTATTGCGTTAAGTGCTACACCACGGGTCGCCACCTGGTGATAAAAATGACGTTCACGTGAATGGGTTTTCCTCGCCCTCTCGCCCTCTCCCTCGCGCCCTCTCTGAGTGCAAGCCTTTACAGTGGTGAAACCAAGAAACGTCTCCAGAAGGCTTCAAAATCAAAATTTCAAAATAAAAAAATTCCGGGCCATAACTAAGACGCATTTCTGATCTATTTGTCCAGGTTTCTGCTCAATAGGTTAACTTCGAGTGGGTAAGCGACATACATACCAACATACAGAATTTGGTTAATGTTATTAGTAATGAATGATAATGAAGACCTTTTTCAAGAAATGGAATTCGGAACCCGATATAAGACGCTTATGTCGGAATTCGCTTTTCGAAATTCGGAATACAATGAGATTTTCGGAATTCTTTTCGTGTCGCATCTATATATGACATAGGTTGTAGGCACAGCTTGCGCTACCGTAGCTCAGTTGGAAGCGACATTGGGTTCAAAATTTCGAGAAGCTTATTCAAATTTCTTGAATAGAGGACCATGGGCTCTATTTTTAAACCTATTTTTCATGATGGAACTCTACCAGAATGAGAGCTTCAATTCGGGGGTTTTGAAAAATACAAAGAAAGTAGCTGCATACTTACCATTTTGTACACAACTATGCAAAGTGTTTGGTACAGAATATAATTATGCGGCTTATTCTGAACAGCAGATATCAAATGGGATGACTTTCTAACGCTTATCAAAATTGGTATGTATAAGGATGATGATAGACCAAGGAGAAGAGCCAATAATAAATGACAATACTGTAACAAATTGCTTTAATTTTTGAACTTTTTAGAATCAATTCTCACGGAAAGAAAGCGACATGCTTGTGCAATTAGTTCTTCTTCACTCACAGCAGGATTACTAGTCATCACGATTACAATAATTGCTATTTGAAAAGTGAAAAACGAAACATTAATCAACTTTAAAATTGTGTACACTTGTTGTTTGGGCGGGTCTACGAGATTTTTAAGATCTGGAAAAAAATAAAGGACAAATCTCTGAATGGCTAGTAATATAATGATAAAATGTTGCGCTTGAATAATTGATACCAATGCGATTTCTAACAATAAGGTCAAAGGAAGAAAAATACAAAAGAATATAATGAGATATGAACTGAAAAATATCATTTCATCAAGACAGTTTTAAGTTTTATGAATATTTGTTTAAACGAGGACAGAGAGGAGAATTTTTTGAGATTAACGTGGGTCAACAAGTTCAACTCGAGAAAATTGGTTTTTTTTTCATTAAAAACTTTGATCTGCTCCCTCTTTTAAAATGGTTCGATAAATTCTCACCTTCCCCATGACTCATCAGGGATGAAAATGTAACAAAATGTGTTTATGGGTCGAACGATGAAGGTTTCGGTCCCTCAACAATCTCTTGAACGGTTTAATTCTTGGTTTCGATTCCATGTTCACTAATTTTTTGGAAATTCCTCGTTTTCTAACCTTTTGCTAATTTCTGAAATACAGCTTTTTTTCACATTTTCAGAAGATAAACTTTCAATTATAAAGTTAAATTTGGTATCTGAAAATATGTTATGCTTAAAGCCTGTGTGTTTTTCAAGAGACGTTTTCCGACAACGGATATTTTCCAAAAATTTTCGAAAGTTCGAACCAGTAAACTAGAACGCATTGTTTCGGAGTCCCGTTTTGCTTTTTTGAGATTTTCTGAGTGAGTAAGATTCACCTGATGTGTTTTCTAGGCCATTTGCCATGTCGAACTAATTTTCTCAAATTGAACTTTCTAGGCAATCGAATTTAATGACCTAACATTTGGTCTAACATTTGCCTGGTGTGATGGTCTAAAAAAAACAACACGCAAAAGTTTGGCCACCATGTTAAAAATATTTGGAAAACATCAAGTGAATGTTAAGTATAACTCAACAGGATTAAAATAATTACTATTTCAGAAATGACAAACGAAAAATTGATCCATTTCAAAATAGAGTAAACTCTTCGTTTTGGCGGGTCTACAAGATTTCCAAGATCTGGAAAAAATAGAGAAAGAATCTTTGAATGGCTAGTAATATAATAATGAAGTGTTGTTCTTGAATAATGGATATCGTTGCTAATATTAATAAGGTGGTAACAGGGGCAATGACATAGAGATATAAGCTGAAAAATTATGATTTTATCAAGACATTTTAAAATTCAATTGCGTGTGGCTATCGTGCCGTTTGCCATCACGCCAAAACACACACACATTTCTCCCTAAAACTTTCCTACCCTTCCTCTTTCAAAATGGTATCATGAACCAGCTTGTTTCCGCCCCTCCAGCGCTTCAAACAACTGACTGGTGCGCCTCCGGCGCGAATTAACCTTGTTTTTATACGTTCGTCGCTTCGCTCCTCACTGCTTTTTAACCGATCACGTCAATTCGCATGAAACATTCAAGTTTTCAAAATGTGCTGACAAATTTGGCCTTCCTCTCCAATAGTGTACCAGGGTTGACAATGTACCAAAATGACCATGGAATGATTAAAGGCAGAGCAGCGTTGAATAATATGTTGTCTTTATAACAATGGTGGATGATCGAATAAATTGCTAGTTCTTGATCTTTCTCTCGATTTTTTCGATAGATAATCAAGTAAAATGAAAAAAGGAAAATAAGACAAAAGATGAGAAATGCTATGAGAACTGCGATAATTGCAAAAATGGTGAACTGCGATAATATGAGAACTGCGATAATTGCAAAAATGGTCAAAATTATTAAACCCAAACTGGGACCAGCCATTATTAGTCGTAAAAATTTATAAAATGAAAACGGGGTAGTTGATCAAAAATAAGCAGAGTTTCCCGGATAAATATCACCTGTGAGTACGGAAGAGTAACTTCAGAATATTAGCTGGAAGAGTAAAAAATTTTCGAACATCAAACGTAACTTTCGAATAAAACAGTTCATTTTTCTGCTACACTAAAACTCAAAAATTAACATTTCAAATGTGTGTTGAAGTTTCCAAAACATCCCCTCTTGTATTACTCGAACCATCCGGTCCAACAGAAGTTTTTCGAAAAATATTTTTCTGAATCCATCTTCCAAAATTTCCGGGTGATATTTGTTTTTTCAAAAGCATCACATTTTGTTTATTGCAAAATAAATAGGACCACTGAATGAAAAGCGGTGTTGTCAGTATATCAAAAACATATATCAATATAATGTATTTCGAACTCTGAAAATGAAAAATTGCATGAATCGGATTAAAATTAACTTATCGGTGGGTTTGGTTCGGTATGTCCAAGATAAACATAGAAAATGACCAGCAAGGACACCTGAAATTTTTATTTGAAAATCTGAAATCATTTTCAGGTTACCATTTTATAAACTGCTATACAGAGTGTCTGATATAAGATATACTTTTGAGGCTTATTCTCAATGGCTGATGCTAAATGTACAAGCTTCCAGACACTTCGAAGAATTGGTATGTATAATAAAGCAGACAAGAGGAGAACTACAGTAAGACATATGTAGATATACTGAATTAATTTTTTTTCAAATAAAGTGAAACCTGTATTAGAAGGGCCCCCTAACTTTAACCTTTGAGACAATTTTTCTAGGTTTTTGTCAAAGATATAACAAAGTGGTCAACTGATAAATTGTTCATCTTGTTATCAGAATTATTTCGTCTATTGTCACATTTTTTATATCCCACACAAGAGCCTAGATAAATTTGCTCAAACTGGGCAATATGGGGCCCTTCTATTACAGATTTTTTTTTTACTCAAAAGGATTCCTACCAATATCATTGATCTTGTTGTCAGGAATTCAATATCATGGAATAAGAGAATGTTAAGACTAACTGATAAAAGATTCCCGATAATTACAAACATGTTGATTGCATACAAAAGCCAAGAGACAGTTCGGCCGGACGGGTTTATATATTCTCAGTATCCGGATAAAAATAAAGTAAAAATCGCTGGATCGCTAACAATGAAAATATGATATTTTGAGCTTGAATGATGGAGAACATGATAAGAAATGTCATTCCAATTATAAGAGTTAGAAATAAACTTCGGAGGCTGAAAAAAATATTAGGTTGGAAGGAAAGTAACTGTCCATTTTTTTATTAGTAAATGAAACAAAAATAAGATTAATCCAAGATTGACCGTATATACCGTCGTGGTCGATAACATGTTGTCAACATTTTCGTAACATGTGGATACCATCCCTCCAAACGCCAGCTGGCTGCGAATCAAACTATTACTTTGGCACATTTTTTTCTCATTGATTTTGCCAAAGTCCTTACTCTTCAGATGGCGTTGTATATTTCCGAAAAACCAATAATCTGATAGAACAAAATCAGGACTTTCACGGGGGTAAAGGAGAACCGTACAGCCAAAGCGGCTCAGGTACGGCGTGACATTCCGTGCAACATTAGGTTTTGCATTTCTTTAACGAAATTCAAGTCAGACCCGAGCAGCTTCAGCGGGACGGTTCTCCCTCACCTACTTATAGTCCCGACTTGGCTCTGTCAGATTCATGATTATTCGGAGATGTACAACGCCATCTGGAGGGTGATCATTTATGAGAAAAACTGAAAAAAGATAGATTTTGATTCGCGGCTAGCTAGCTTTTGGAGGTATGGTATCCACAAGTTACCTGAATGTTGGCAACTTTTTATGGACCACGACGGTGCATACCGCTAATCTTGGCTTAAAGGTGGGGGGGACAGGAGATTTTTCGTAGTTTTTTTGTAGCTAGAGTATGCATTCTACCGTCACGGTGTACAACGCTTAATGTCACTCTGCGTACAGCTGTCGTCCTCGCCTTTATGTATGCAATCCGACGGCCGCTTTCTCTTTGCCCGTGTAGCTCAGTCGGTAGCGGCGCCGCACCCTCAATCCTCGCCCTCACAAGTTCAACTCCTCGAGGGGCGTAGTAAACGGAATTTCGAGAACATTATTTTTTTCATGTCCCCCCACCTTTAATCTGGTTTTTGTATTATTCAAAAATAAAACAAGGGACAGTCACTTTCCTTCCAACCTAATATATAATTTTTGAGCCAGCTTTTCTTGGTCTCTGTCAAAGATATCAAAAAGTTGTCAACTGATAGATTGTTTATCATATTATCAGAAACATTTTATCAGTTCACACAATTTCGATATCTCGCATTGGAGCCCAGAAAAATGAGCTCAAACTTATAGGCCTTCCTATTACAGGTTTGTCATTTTTTACCTTTCCGATAACACATTGAAATATGACACCAAAACTATTGCTATCAAATAAAGAAACAAGAAAATTGATAAAACATAAAAGATAACGCTTACTTTGAAACAGTGATTAATTATCGGGTAGATGGCGAGCTCTTGGTCTTTTTTTCGGTTTTTTCTAGATATTATCACAAATATCGGGAATAGAAAGAAGAGAAGAATTGCCATGAAAACTATTAGGAAAAAAAGAACTACAGTAAGCAGCACATGTAGTGCTGAAGTCATTTTTCAAAAAGTCGCTTGCAATGAAATTTCACCTGTGATAGAAACTTTGTATACAAATTTTATAAATGTCGGAGATTAGAGATTAAAATTTGAAAGCAATTTTCGATCTCTTAAAAAGTGAAAAATGTTTTCGGTGCAAAATTAAATTGATCAAGGTTTAATAGTTTATTCCTAAACGAAAAAATTGAAAAAAAAATATTCTAAACAGTATAAACTTATGAATTTGGATTCCATTTAAAATTAGTAGTTGTCGTTAGAGCACGTCTTCTAGATTTCAGTAGATCAACAAAAAATGGAATGAAATGAGAAAACATCTTATCCATTCGTCTATTCTGTTGCCCCTTGTGGTCCACATGAACCTTGAGATAGTCCAATAGTGATTTTTGATATGTCAGAACAATTTTCAAATCATTTTCAGCAAAAATATTCAAAAAATGTGATCCGTCAATTATGATTCTCTGGCCGACTTGACACTTGACATCCAGTATTGGTTCCTCCGTATTCTATGATCACAGTTTTCTTATCGATTTTTGATTTCAAAACCAGTCGAGCAAATCGAGGAAATAGGAAAATATCCATGGAAGAAAGATTGAGGTCCGGTTTTTGTTCTTCGATGAAATCACGAAAACCATGGCACGTTTTTTGAAGTGCAAGTCTGAAAAAAGGCTATATTTGTTAAATTGAATATTTTGATTCTTATTTTCTAATATTCTTCGAATGGTGTTTTGAAAATTCACATGGAAAATTCCAACTGGTTTCTACCGATTTTGCCCTTACTCATGTCTGAAGATATACCCGTTTTTATCAGTCCGGGTAATTGTGCGCCACCCTGTAAACGGCAAAATCTTCCTTTTCTCTCAATAGGTTCTATTTTCACGATTTAAAAAAAACAAAGCCTCACATTGACTGAAAATCGAGATACCAAGATATGTGCTCCCATACCATTACTGGCAAATCGAGAAATGATTTTTTCGCTTCCATTTTCATAATCATAAGAATGATAGAAAATGAAAAAGGCATGCGTTTATATACAGGAAACTAAAAATTTCACAATCAACAAAATGTTTGAACTGATAAACAGCTGGTGCCAGGTAAAAAACATTGTTGATAATGTTTTTTTTCGGAAATTTTCGAAATAGTGAAAGGAAGTGATGTCATCAATCACGAAATTATGAGAGAACCCCGAATGAAAAAATTAAGAAAAAATTTTCAATTCTCAAATATCAAGTTGATCTGCGATACCTTGCAGCAATTGAGCTATCCTGAAAATTCGAAACTTCAAAATTCAATCGAAATTTGAGCAATTTTAGACTCACCGACACTCTGGCATTCCCAGCTGAAATCATAAAAAATGGTTTCACAGCTTCCTGATATCCAGTGCAAAGTGTAAAAACGAAAGTTGGACGAAAAACCGCGCCGATAGTCTGATAGAGCTCGAAAATCATATCAGCTAAAATTTTGTTTACTCTAAAATATTTTCAAATTTTAGATTTTTTCAAAAGAACCAACAAGTCCGGTATACTAGTTGAATCTGGATTCAGGAGCCGCTTATTTGAGAATGTTGATAAATGAATCGGTACGAAAAACGATAGCAACAGCCAAAAAATAATTCGAAAAAAGATCTTTTTTTGGTCCTCGCCGTTTTTCGAACGTATACAAAGCATATAAAAAAAACAGGAAAATACTCAAAAGATAAAACAAGGTTTTGGAGTATAATTCAATGATTTCTGTCGCTTAAATTAAATATGTTTTCCAACTCGATTTTTTTCGTAGATATTCTTCAAACTCTAAGCTTGTTGTACAACCTCCGAAAATATTCAGTTCGAATATCACAGAGAAAACGGAATACAAAATCAACAGGGCCAGTATTACTTCAGGAACTACAGTAATCACACACACTTCGATACAATTTTTTATGCTCCAAATGTGTGTACCAACTCTTTTGAAATCGACAATTTGAAGGACACAAATTCCAATCATTAGCCAGTGAGCAAGCTCAAAAGATTCAGCGTTTGCGCTACAAATTTCAATTTTAAATCAGCTTGATTCGCAAAGCCAACACAGTTTCGCTGATCGATGTTTATCAGAATCATATAGGCTTCTACAATGGCTTGAACTAAAAGCCAGACCAAGCCTCGAATGCAGAAAACAAAAAGGCAAATAGTGAATGGATAAGTCCGGAGAATTTGAAATAGAAAATAGGCATGAATGATATGAGTTACAAGACCAACTATGGATGAAATAAGAACGGCATATCTTATACATGTTACAGTAACGAAATTTTAAGAGAACCCCGAGTAAACGAAAAATGGTGTATAAATCCATTTTCAGTTGTAAAACAAGGAAATACAAGTTAACCAAAAAGTTATTGGAATTTCTGAGAATTGGTTGTTTATTGTTGGACATATTAATATTAGAGCATGAAATGATAATGGATTTTGATATTAAAATGATATTTAAATAATATGTAAATAAAACAAATTACAGGATTGGAGTGTTTTCTAAACTAGAAACTTGTTTGTTATTAATAAAACCTCATTGAACATTTCTGAAAGTTGAAGGGGTTAAAGGTGGGGGATAGCCTTAAAAATCCGAAATTCTAAAGTTTTTCAAATAGAAATTAAAAGAATTCAGACTCACCGACACTCTGACATTCCCCGCTGAAATTATAAAATTAATTTGAAGCTTTATGGTATTCAGTTCAAAGCTTAAAACCATACATGTCGCGGGCCGGGCCGGGCCGGGCCGGTGAAGGAATTTTCACTTTAAGAGTCATTTTTTGAGAGAAAACTGGATTTTTGGGAACATTTTATCAAAATTTCAATGTTTTCAGGTTTAAGAAGGGTCATGGGATAAATTTCGTGATTTAAAATGATTATTTTGAGAAAAATGTATCAAAAATCAACAGAAACATTTTTAAATATTTGGAACCCGGGCCGGCGGGCCGTGCCGGGATAATTTTTCTCCAGCCTGGCCAGGGCTGACCCGGGCCGGGACGAGATTTAGCAAGTATGCTCAAAACTATGGGTTGAAATGAAAACCGCTACAAACATAGTATATTTTTAGACAACCAAAGTTTGCGATTTTTAACTAGAAATATTAAAAATTGACTAACTTGTGGTCGGTACTGTAATTGGCTTTTTTTCCAGATCAAAACTCAACATTCAACAGCAATGATCATTCTGTGATCCGACTTATCTGATGACGGTTCGTCCAAACTAGGATGTGAAAAACTTCACAGATCACTTCCACGTTCAAACTACAAACTCTTTTTTGATTAAAAAAAACCATCAGGATAAACTGATAGATCAAAAATTACTCACTGCTCATAAAGACTAAAACTTCTGCTTTTAAAAAATTTACGTGAGTCATGAAAAGGACTACGTTCTTTTTTCCTTTCGTTCAAACACCTCAACGGATTAACCAAAACTTTTGACCGGGTATAAAAGATCGCATTCGGTCAAAGTTTTATTATACACAATTGTCAATGAGGACGTTTATCGTTGTACTTTTTGTGACACTATGTTTGGCAGAGGATCATTTATTACCAAACACTTTTGAGGAGCTGTTTCCAAATGCTCCAAAATCCGATGTTTTGAAAGTAGGTGATTTTTTGAAGATTACTGTAAATTCTCATATATACAACGGTTCATGTTCAGCTAACCGAACAAATAAACCAACAAAAAAACCCGAAAAAAGCAAAAATAGTTCTGGATAACTGGATTCAACGTCATTGGGATACAATTCCGGAAACAACCCACTCGGAACAAGAGGCAACAACTCAACAGTACGTCACGGAGAACCAAGGAGACACTGATAGACCAAAAACAACGAGAAGTTACTACTATGGCGGCTATGATGGTTACGGTAGTTATTATGGTAGTCCTAGCAATTACTATGGTGGATATAATAGCTCCTATAGCAGTTATAACGGATACGGTAGTTACGGTAGTTACTATGGTAGTTCTGGTAACTCCAACAGCGGATATAATAGCCCCTACGGCAGTTATAATGGGTATGATGGTTACGTAAACTACAACGGTAGCTTCTCCGGTACCAAAGAAAAACAATATTCGAACAACGTGGGAGGAATATTCCGAGAACTCATTGGAGAGAAAGTTGTAACAGAAAGTTACGCCATAAGGATAGAAGATCGACCGGAAGGGTTTAACGCTGAAGACTACGGAGAGAAAATGCAACCCGACAAGTGGGAGGAAGATTACTGGGTTAGAATCATCCCGAATCCGGTGAGACCAATTCAAAAGATTTGTCTAATTTATTATTTTTCAGAGCTTGAGAACTAAAAGAAGTTGCTCATCGGACAAGCATCTCGTCAGACAGAAAGCGTTAAACTTTATTGATCATCGAGCTACTCTAAAATCTTTGATACGATTTGCTGTGAATAGAAGTTTGAAGGAGCGTGTGTTGGAGAAATCTGAAGCACCGAAGATGTACAAGCTGTTCTGGGACGCCGACAAAGAAAGCGGAAATGAATTTTCGCACACTGAACGAAACTTTTATGGGAAAATAACAATGTACGAATGGAGCAATGAGCGAACTATTGTGTCAGGCATATTCGAAGGATTATTCACATACTTCCGTGAAAATCGAAAGAAGGCCGAGCTACTTGACTGGAGTCTGGATGGTTTTCATGCATGTTAATTGCTGATTTTTTTTTAATTTTAAACAATTTTTATGTCACAGATTATGCGTATGACCGGATTAAACTCTTGGTGTCAAGCATTTTGACAAAAAAAACTGTACAGCAAAAAAATGAATTTTGTTTACAATGACTACACAATATTTATAAAGACTGAGTACTGTTCTGAAAATAAAACAGTTAGTAGAAGTTTTAAAAAATGATTTCACAGAATTTCCTTCGTTTTTCCGTTATTTGCCGATTTCTAAAAAACGCCCGTTTTTCACGTTTTCAGTACAAAACAGGCCAAGAAGGGGTGTCTTTCAAAAACCGGCAAAAAGCTGAAAAGCTAGGTATTTTCAACTAATTCTGTGAATGCAAAGTTTTCAATCTAGGTCTGTTTTACTAACTCCAAAATTTTCAAAGTGACCGGAAGCTTGACAGCTGAACAGAACACTCTTGATCATGAAACCTGTTTTAGAAGGGCATGCTCTTTCATTGTTTAGGGTACCTCCGGAGGGCTTCTTTTTTACAGGGGCCCTTCAATTAGAGGGGCCCTTCTATTTTTCCGGTGATTTTTTCCAAAATTAAAAAAAAATATTTGGTGAATTTTCGTTCAAAATTCATGACCAAAATTAAGAAATTTTCTCAGCAAAAAAGAGTGTTTCAACAAAAATTGTGTAAAATTTCGGATTTTTCACAATAATCCCCTCTCGGAGGGCCCTTCTATTAGAGGGGCCCTTCTACTATTAAAAGGTCTATTCTATACAGGTTTTACGGTATCGTATCGACCGGTGCTTATTTGACCGGTGCTATAAAAAGTCCAAAAAAGGTAACTTTATGAAATAATTTTATTGAGAGAGAAAAATGCCATTGACGAAAAATGCCAAAGGAAAATGCCGAAAATCAGAAAAAATAAAAAAAAAATCGTTCAGCTACTATATTGCTATTTTCAAAATGATTAGAAAATTTTCAAAAAAAAAGTCACCACACATTTAAGCAAACTAGAATTCAAGTGGGATATGCTGCTCAACCTCCTCGTCCGACTCTCTTTCATAACTTCTGATTCTTCTGACTAATCGTTGGCCACCTCCGTCCAATACCATATGAATCGCAGTTCCTTGCAGTCTGACTTTGTATTGATGCTTGAGCGAATAGAAAATTGTGAGCAATACTACAGCACACATCACAGCTGATACGAATACCACAATTAAAGCTAACGGGTGATTGATCATGATAAAATGTGGAGAAATGAGAAAATACAAGCGGAGGGCAACTAAACGAAAAAAGAAGAAATTCGAGAAACAAGATTAACCCAAGATCTGTGGAATCAGCTTCTTCACCCGCCCAAATGGAAACCCTAGAAGGGAGATCCATTTTAGTAATGGATTTTTAAAAATAAGTCGTGATGTTTGACTCCAATATGTTTTTATGATAAAGTTATGTGTTCGAGAGTTTTGGTGATAAAGTTATGTGTTCGAGAGTTTTGGTTTTTTGCAAGGGCCAACGGGTTGTCCGTGCATGTCTTGTCAAATTTTAGAATGTCACCCAGAAGATTTGCTTAAAATTGAAGTTTTAATTTTGAATAGTACACACTGAAAATTTCAGACTAATCGAAAAATTAGTTGTAAGGAGCACTTTTTATTTTGGGCAAGGTTTGTAGAATTCTTGACCCCACCATGGGAGTAAGGTAGCTCATTTTTGGAGTTAATCGCTCAAAACTCCTTGAATATTTTTTCAGGCACTTTATGACGACACTATTGCTAGATCGCTCACACATTTTAATGCGCAGCCACATAACCAATAGGACCATATCATATTCTTCCCATGAGAACAGATTAATCTGGCCCACACAAAGTACGGTGGATGGCGGAACCCGGAAGATGTCGAGACAAACGACAGATAGGGTCCTCATTTGGTTTCAGACGAGTACCTAACATTGTCATCATTCTGCTCACTCTGTCATCATTCCACCTACTATCACATTCGCTGCTGTCCAAGGAGATTCGACGTCAAACCAAAAAAGTAAGTCTTTCTAGAGTGCTGATTTAAAGTTGTGAGGGCTAGGAATGGTTGGAGTCGGGGATTTTTATCTCCCGTTTCAGCTGATTTTAGCTCCTAACTGTTTCATAATAAGCCTATTAATTTCTATAAACCTATTAAACTCATGACATATTTTTTCAGCATCTAAAATGTCTTCTTTCAAACTACTAAAGTACCCCACATTGGTCCAGAAGGAAATTATTGAGGAAATGAATATCCGAGAAAGGTTAGTTCGAACTTCGTTAACATTTTCATTGTGTACTTTCAGATTTTTCTTCTCGGCTCTATCCGCCAATGCTTGCTCACGATTCATGCATCTCGGAGTTCGAAAAATCGTAGTGTACGACATGCAGCTTAATGTATCCCGTACAAACACCGAGATTCGATTGAACACGTCTTCTGGATATCTGTCTTTTAATATTTTCTACTATACGAAGCTAGATCATATGATGAACTTTAGACTTGACAAAACGTCAGTTCCAGTCTCCGTCGGTGAATACAGCTGCCAGTTTTCTTTCGCTGACTATTCTGCCGGAAAGATGAAGGCTGTCGTGGAGCTCATTGGAAAATTGACGAAGCAGTTATCGTGCATTTCGAATATTGAATTGTGTAACATTAAATATACTCATCCGGTTACATCGCTTTTCCCGAATCTTCATGGAATTCAAAAGTTTGGTAACGTCGACATTTGTAATTACGCGGGATCCGAAAAGGGAGTGAAACTCACCGCGGAAGACTTTGACGTCATCTCGAACTCGAAATTCGTGAAAATTCTATGCTCGATATCTGGAGTACAGAAGACAGTGAATACTTTCTTGAAAGCATGGATTTCTGGGAACCACACAGCCTCGGGCATTGCTCACTTTTATGCCATCATGCATTCTAATAAAAAAATCACGGAATTCTTCACAGGAATCGAGACGACCGTATCGACAACAACGTAAGCACTGAATTTACCGATTTTTAAACATTACAAAAATGATTTTCAGGGTCGCGGAGATTAATTCAATCAAAAACGAATGGCTAGATCAGTGGACAGTGTTTGACGGCACAGTGGACATTCATCGGCAATCCGACCAGATGAGAGCTACTGTCGCATTCCACAATACAGGCCATAGGGTCCTTTTTGTAGTTTGGAATGAGGAAAATTTGGCCAAACTTCCAAGAACACAATAATCTCTGATTTTTATTTTTTTTAATTGTTATTCTTTGCAAGCTATAAAATTTTAATCTTCTGAAGATGTTTTTTACTTCTAAATATTTAACATCGGAATGAACTTTACATAAATAATATTGATAGGTAGTCCAACACTTTAGAGCCGATCCACCTCAGTACATGTCAAAGATATGAAAAAGTTGTCAACAAAAAAATCGTCTATCGTATCAAAAACATTTTAACTCAAACTTAAAATGAACGTTTTCGAATTGACAACTGTCATGTCAAATTACATTCTGGTTAAATATACATATTTGCAAACAAAAAAAGCTGAAAATTCCAACTTTTGCACTAAACTGAACGTTGTCCTACAAAACCATTGTGTTTGTAGTACAAACTTTGTAAATGAATATGGAAACACAAAACTGAAGTTGATTAGTTTATTCTGAAAATTTCCGAGAAATCAAAACTTCTGGAATAATTTTTCACTTTGAGCAACATTTCGTTCTCGCATATTTTCCTGTGCAGCCACATAACCAATCATTACTAATAACTTTCACCAAATTCCGTATGTCCGGATGGATGTAGCGTGTTTGTTCAAAACGCGATAAAATGTCAAAACATGAGAAATTACATTGAACTCGAAGTCTTGAATTTTTCAAGCGCTATATTTCATTTAGAAGAATTTATACAAAAAAGTTGTCAACTACAAAATTGAAGCTTTATCTTTTTAATTGTTCATCCCGAAGCTTCCATCGCCTCTTGAACAGTTCTCGATGCTTCAAGTTTTTGATCGATTTGTCTTTTGATCTAAAAACAACGATGAAAAGTTTCTTATCAGCATGAAAAATACCTGAAGCCCATGGCTGTCCATATGATTTTCGAAGAACTCAGTGAGTTTACTAAAAGTTGGCCTGTCTAGTTTTTCCCTTTTCCAACACTCCAACATGTAATGGTACCTGAAAAATGTAAAATACAAAAAAAAACTTTATTAGAATCAAAACTAACACTTCCTGATGAGCGTATTCCGGTTTTGAAAGTCGACCTCCATCCCCTATGAATTCTTCAACATTCTCAACGCCCTCATATGGAATTTTCCCAAGGGTCCAAAGTCGCCAAATGCTTACAGCATATGACCAAACATCGGATTGCTCCGAAAATCGATTTTCATTTGAGTTCAATTCAGGTGCTTGATGATGAAGGTCGAGTTGTGTTCGTTGAGTGACAATTCTGAATTTCGTATGGCTGATTGGAAACAGGAAAGTTTTTACGCGTAGTAAGGATTATTTCCAAACCGGCGAGTCAAATTGAAATTCCCAATTCGAATAGTTTTGTTAGCGGTCACAAAGACGTTTTTGAGCGTAAGCCAACGATGAACAAACTGAAATTCGGGGTGCTAACATATTGAAAAACTGGCAAAGGTCTTACTTCATTTCCAGCCAAATATTTCATTCCATTCGCGATTTGCCATGAAAAGGAAAGCAAGTCAAATGTGCAGAGTGTGGTCAATCTGCTATCCAGAACCCAGTGAGTGTTTTCGTACCCAACATTTCTCAGATGGTTCCCAAAGTTTGAATCATCGAATCTTTTGACAAACTTCAAAAGGTTCCCTCCTTCTGGATGTTCCATGTAAATTGAAATTCGGGATCTGAACAACCTTTAGAGTGTTATCAAAAAACAAGTAAACTTACCCATTCTCCTCATGTCCGATGAATGTTAACAAATTGGGGTGCCTTTCTATACCTTCAGTGAGGAATCTCAACTCATCTTTGATTACTTTTTGCTGTTCTGGGTCGGTGGAACCTGAATAAGAAGAAAAGAGGAATTTAGGATATTCAGGTTATGGCTGCTTGCGTTTCACAATGACCAGCTCACGATTTCTTCTTAGCATTGTGATGTATCCCAACCCAAGAGTATGATAAACGTTCTCTTCAATCTGATGGACATATTCCAAATTCCAAGTGTTGGCATTCTGATGTTCATTTGGAATTTCCATGACAACCTGCTCCGGCTCATTCACTGGCTCGATTATTGGTAACATCGGTTCACAAGTTTCCAATTCAGCGTCATTTCTTGGATTCCTAATCGTTATTTGTTATTAAAAATGCTTGTAATTCTTACTCACCTGATTTTTCTTATCACCGATTTCAGTTTGATCCATAAATACAAAATGCAAAATCCCAAAACAACAATGACGATCACAAAACTAATGGAAATCAGCTTCCAAATGAGATTATGATCTTTAGAGTTTCCAGGATCACTGAAATTGAAATGGATAATTGAAATTTAGGGAATGTGTTTACCTGGGTTGTATCAAAAAGTCCATTCTTCGAAGATATAAGAATAATGTTCACGGTGACGATAAGATAATGAATAGTGGCTGACCGCCGTATCTCCTTCTTCTACGTCTTCAAATGATCAAAAGAACAGGGTGATTACCAGCGGAAGCAGTTAGTAATTTATCACTAGCAATTGCGAAAATAACTTATGAGGAAACGGTGATTCGATTAAGAATTCCTTCACCGAAATGGCTAAATGTTTTTGACTTCATTGCTCATTGCTAATTACCTGTTCTTGATTTGATAGCTATTCAATAGCGTCTCCCTATTTCATCCCGTCGTATCCATTACCGTAAAAATGATGTACCTCTACTTACTATTTGGTGTTATATTATTCCTATTGCTTATTATCTCGCTTTTGATTTGGTGTTTGTGCAAAAGAAGGTAAAATCCCTGCATCATGACCGTCCACTTTAAGGTAGTTTCTGAAACACAAAAAAATTTCAGGTATAACGAACATCGAGAGTTACGTGCAATGCAGGAATTGGGGAATAGGTATCCGCCAAGTATTTTTTTGCTGAAAAAAAGGAGAATTTTCAGAGAGGAACCTGTTGAACCATTAGTTTCTCCCCCTAGGTCTAATAACTCCAACGATGGTTTACAAGAAAATTTTGAAATTGATGAGTCAAACCTTGAAATGTACAAAGTCATCGAAACCGGTTCATTTTATAAAGGAAAGCTGAGTTTAGCATTTTTACGATCAAAAAGGGATGAAACTGACACTTTAGCAGTTATTGTGCAATGTAAGTGGATGAGTTAGAACCCTAAAAATCATGAAACACGTTTAAGCGGCTCACATCGCAAACGATAATATTGCATTAAGTTTATTGAAAATGGCCGTAAAAACAATGTCAGGGTTCCCAACACATCCAAACATTTTGGCTTACCTTGGATTTGTAAGAAATGAGTAAGTTGATTTACTGAATGTCGAAACAATATTAATCATTTTTAAAGAACTGAGATGTGTATTGTAACCGAATATCCAATCGGAGGAAATCTCTTTTCATTTTTGAAAAAGTTCCAAAAAGAAGGCTTCAATGATCAACTAACAGAAGATAGAAATAGTTACAACATTAAAAATCGGAAATTAGACAGTAACATGGATATCTTACGTACTGTTGATTTGATTTCATTTGCTTATCAAATCAGTAATGGGATGGACTACTTAGAAAAACTATCAGTTAAAAAAATCGTCCAAAACACTGATGATTATGCTTCTTCCAGATTAAACATCTTCAATTATGCCTTCATAATGTTATGATATCCGACGACAAAACAATTCGAATCAGCGGATTTACTTTAGCAGGAGCATTTCCCGAAAACAACAGATAAGGCCGCATTGGAAGTTTTGAACAATTTTTTCGATTTTCAGATGTAATGATGAAACTGGAATACTTCCGCCTTGTCGGTGTGGATTTGTCTGCAAGTTTTCAACAAAAGCTGACCTCGGGGATTTTGCTGTTTGCATGCATGAAATATTCAGTCTAGGAAAAACATCTGATGAAGCCATGAGCAATGGTAAATTCTTGGCCCAACCTGCTTTCTGCCACAATGAAATGTGAGTGACCACCCAACTAAACAGACTAGAGCAATCATCCTTTAGATACCATCTGATGCAACATTGCTGGAACGCAGACTCGGAACAAAACCGTACTTTTTCATACTGTATTACATTTTTAGAGCAACACATGAAAAAGTTCGATGTTCCGGTATGTATCTACTTTTTCAATAAAAGTCTTATTCGAGACATTTCAGATTGAACACCAAATTGAGATGAAACTTCTAGACGCTGCAAGAGAACAGAGAAAATTGTTGGAGTTTGTCGACTATTGCAGAAAAAGTGTGAAGTCGTGATTCGAGTCGCTTTCATTCTACAACCGTGTATGGCTGGTCTATTAATGTTTTCTTATTTATTGAATTATTTTCTTAATCATGTGAAAAGATATGATATCCAAGGACAAAACCATTCGAATGAAATTATCACATGTCGCTTGCAGCGGATTGAAATCACACATTTCGAGTTTTGCTATGTGCTTGCTTGTAATGTTTAGTCTAGGAGAAACATCTGATGAAGCCATGAGCGATGGTAAATTCTTGGCCCAACCTATTCTCTGTCATAATGAAATATGAGTGAACACCCAACTACGGTAAAACCCGTAATATAAGGGCCCTCACTTTGTTTAGTTTGAGCTCAATTATCTCGAATCCTATGCAAGGTATCAACACGTAGTCAACTGATAAAATGTTTATCACACTACCAGTATCATTTTATCAATTGCTTTTTTTTCATATTTTTGACAAGAACCGAGAAAAATTGTCTCAAAGTTAAATGTAATGGGTCTTTCTATTACATCTGTTACGGTAGGCAGACTACGAGCAATCATTTTTCATATATCTAGAAGAATGTGGATTGGAACGGATATGTAGGAACTGTGACAAAAGGACCGTGGATACTTGGTTTTATGCCGTACAAAGGAATATCGGAAAAATAAATCAATATTTTCATTGTTTATAAACATCACAATCAAAAACCGCAGTTTTATTATCCTGGGTTGAGCAGAACTTTGATGAAGACATCACATCCAAAAGTGTGTTCTCTTCATCATCAAAAATTGGTTTCCAAATCACAAATCCTCCAATATTTTTGTCAATCGCATATCTGATTTTCTCCAATAAACTTCTCTCATTCTCAAATGCCAAATAAGTTTGTTCCAGTTGATCATAAATATACGGAGTTTTTGATTCATTGTTCCAAGAAGCGGATTTCAAATCCCATCCACCATTTTCCAGATCTTTCCATGCCAACCAATCTCCATCAACGTTCCCATGATATTTTTCTGCTAACATCCACAAAGGTTCAGAAGACCCAATTGGCTTTCTGACATTTTTCCAGTACCTTCCTCCAAACATTAATTTCATATTCAATTTCTCTGGATTCTCGGTTGCACAAGTATAGTATGTCATCGTACTGTCCACGTTCTCCACTCCAGCATGTCCAGAATACAACGGCGACGGCGGACCAATCAGTTGAGGGTGCTCCAGTTGCAATAGAGAATAGTAGTCCGCCGTTTCTATATTCAAAAAATCCACATGCTCCATAATACTTTCGAGGTTCAAACCAATATCAGAAGCTGGAAGAGATAGTGCCAATATGAATTCTCTAGTCATGTTCTTGTTGTACTGTCGCATTTTCTCACAAAAATAAACAATCTGAGCCAGGTTTTTGGTTGGAAATTTCCAGTTTAATTCGATTCCATCAATTTTATGGGTGGCGAGGAAAGAATTCAAGTGCCATATCATTTTTCTGAAATTTGTAATTTTAACTACAGTATTTCCTTTTACAGAAGCCCACCCAAACCGATTATCTCGATTTCTGTGAAAGATATCTGAAATGTGACAACTGATAAAATGTTCAGTTGACAAATTTCTGTTATCTTTCACAGAAATCGAGATAATTAAGCTCAGAATTGATGGTTTGGATAACCTTCAATTAGACAATGTACTGTAACTGGAAAAATCACATAGTTGCCAAATTCGTCGCCGGGTCATTCACCTCGTTATTAATTTCCATTGATAGTAGAAGTTTGACATCATGACTTTTTGATTTCTCTTGTAATCTTTCAAAAACCTCTTTTTCCATTTTATTCCTGAATCGAATGATCCCATACTGCCAAGTAATGGGTCCAAAAATGATATGTGTCATCTTGGAAATTTGCTCATTCGTGAGCTCTTCTCTGTCATACAATCGACTCCAACCGATAATTCTTCGGTTGCATGGAGTGTAGTTTCCAGACAAAATAAAAGCATTTTTCGAGTTTTCCAGTAAAATTGCAGGTTTCGCACTCCAAAGAAAATGAAAAGCAACAAAGATTGAAGTAACCAGAATAGTACTCAAAACGAATCCGAAACAGAAAATGCCAAATAACTGAGCGTAAAACTGGGTTTTGGAAGTTTTCTTCAATCTGTAACTAAAAATATATTAATCTTTTCAGACCGATTTTTCTTATGATTTTTTTCAAAACTCACACAACCAGTGACTCTTTTTGGTCAGAATTCGACATAGTAGTAATCAAAAAATGAATCGATTAACACTAAAAGTGTTTATATTTTTGTTATCAGTTAAATAGTGATAACAGGATGTTTGGGTTTAAGGTCTTCAAAAAAAACATCAATAATATTTTTGATTCAAAATAAGCATGCAAACGTTCCTTTCACTATCATCACAATATATTTAAATAAACCCTAAAAACTGTAATAGAAGAGCCCCCTTTTCAGCTTCGAGCCAATTTTTCTCGGTTGCTGTTGAAGATATCAAAAAGTTGTCAACTGATAAACTGTTTATCATAATATCAGAAGTGTTTAAATAATTGACACATTTTTGATATCTTTGGCGGGAGCCGAGTTGAAACTGGACAGTGGGGGTCTTACTATTGCAGGTGTTACGGTAATATAAAAAGGACCCATTTAAGAAACATTCGTCGAACATCAGTCTTATTTTTTATTAGCCAAAATCCAATGATTTTGTCTATTTCTATTTGATTGAACAATCAAAGATCTATACGGCGGGCCTTTGTGATGCTAAAATAATCAAAAGTAGCGATTCGGCAAAAAAAAACGCACCTAACTAAACGCACCTGTATAGTAAGTAAACATTGTCCTCAAATTTCCTAGATCATAGTCAGGATGATTCTGTTAAAACAACATTTTTTTGTTGTCTCCGTGTGTGGGCATAAAACTAAAGAACTCTGTGTGTTAATCGTTTGGTATGTTTGTACAGGTTTACTTCTTGCCCTAAAAACCCGCCGAAAAACTTTTTTTCTCATTATTTGAAAAAAAAAACTGTTCACTTTTTGTTCTGAATAAAAACATGCATAGTTTTAGCCGTGTTCATATTCTTATTCAAAATACCTAGCACTTCATCTACTTTCAGTTCTGCGTGGGGATTCGTGGAACCTGGAGACTTATGCTGGGGAATTGCAAATGCTCTAGGAATCTCAATTGAAAATCTGATAGCTTTGAATCCAGGACTGAATTGTGACCAGCTATGTTAGGCAGAGGTATTTTTTCAAAGTTTGAATAAGACCCCAAATTTTTTTCAGGCTTTGCACCCAGTCTTCTACTAGACCTGATTGCACAAAGTTCTATAGGATAAATTCAGGAGATTATTGTTATAAAATCTGGACTGAAAATGGGTTATCCGAGAGACAATTGCTGGAAATGAACCCTGGTCTCGACTGTAACAGAATTGCAATTGGTCAGCAACTTTGTGTCAGTTTTGATGCGAGGTTCAGTACTCCGAGACCACAGACTACAACGACTGCAACTATGATAAGCTCAACGGAACGTTCTAGAGAAAACTCCGAGCATCAGCCACTTCCTCTGGTTGAAGGTAAGTTAGACTAAACTGAAATGTATGGTGCCAGATTTGGTTTAAAATTTGAGGGACCCGAACCTGTTTTGTAAGGTTTGTGATTTCCGTAAGTTGTAGAGGGTACACTATCAAATTTGAGCTCACACTATCACATTTGAGCTCAAGTATCTTGATTTCTATGCAAGATATCAAAAATCTGACAACCGACAAAACACTTCTGATATTATGACAAACAATTTATCGGTTGACGACTTTTCATATCTTTGACAGGAAGCGAAATAATTGAATTCAAAGTTGACGGCTTGTGTCGCCTTCTATTAGAGAAATAACGGTATCAATCATAAATTTAAAAAAAAATCAGCCCTGGTCCGTTGCAAGTATGTTATAAGCCTCTTTCAAAAGAGACTCTATAAATAACATATTTTATTTAAAGCACCTGTCAAATGCCATGAGTACACCACAATCAAAACTGAAGATACCTGTTCTCGAATCGCCTTTCTTCTTATTTTTTTGAATTCCCGCCAAAACATATTTGTTCGAACTCCCGTGAGAATTCTTTTTTTTAGAAAGTTTTAGAAAGTTGTAGAATACTGGGATTTTTTTTTTGAATTCGGGCCACAATATTTTTTTTAATTCCCGCAAAAATTTTTTTTTGAATTCGCGCCAAAATCATTTTTTTTGAATTCCGGCCAAAATCTTTTATTTTTTGAATTCCCGCCAAAATTTTTTAAATTCCCGCCAAAAAGTTATTTTCAAATTCCCGCCAAAATTTTTTTTTTGAATTCCTGCCAAAATATTTTTTTTGAATTCCCTCCAAAACATATATTTTTAAATTTCCGCCATGGTATTTTTTCGAATTCCCGCCTAGATATATTTTTTTGAATTCCCGTCAGAATTCCTTTTTTTTTTGAATTCCTGCCAAAATTTTTTTTTTCAACAAACACTAGCTGTGCTTGTTTCGTGATTTATTCACCGTGCTCCACTTTGAGAGCTTTCTAAGTTTTTTTAAAGCTAAAAATGTTGCGCAACATCCCTAGAGGCAATTTTCCCGTTTTCTCACGTTTCCCTTGAAGACAAAAATATTTATGCTGACAAGACGCAGATGAAAAAATGCAAAATTCTTTCCGTGCGTCCTCTGCTCTCATTCTTCTGCTCCTTGTGTGAGCGTTGCCATGGACTACCTAGCAATTTTTGTCTATGCTGTCTTATATTTTCTTGTTGTTGAGAATATAAAACTTCAAGAATTTTCGCAAATGTGGTTTCCATTTCCAATTCAAATATTCCGGTTGGAAGCTCACATTGAAGAACACTTACAATTTTTTTTTCATTTCGTCATCTCTATTCCTTCTTGTGGATCAAAAACTGTTTTATTCCCGTCATCTCTCTTACAATTAAAAAAAACATCATAATTTAACTAGTGAACTTATTTTTTCAGGTAAAAACTATTTCTTATAAGTATCATCAATGCAACCCGAAAACCTCGAACTCGTTGAAAAAGGACGAAGAACAGAAAATGAAAACAATGACGGGAAGTATTCACCCCAGTTCTCCAACAAAACCATTCGTGCCGGATTCGTTCGCAAAGTCTTCGGTTTGGTATTCGTTATGGTAAGAAGTAGTTTCATTTAGGTATCCCAAAAAAACGCCATTCTTTAGCTATGCATCGCTGCCGCAGCCACAGTTGTCCCTATAGTGCATACTCCAACGAGGGATATCATTCTCAAGCATTGGCTAATTCCCATTGGAGTCTTGTAAGCTAAAAAAAAACTCATGATAACAAAAAAAAGCAGTCTTGTTTTCAGTATCATATCATTGGCAACTTATTTTTCATTGCTCTGCTGTGAAGGATTTCGTCGAAAGTTTCCAGTCAATCTCATAATGGCTGGAATGTTTGTAAGGACATGTAGTGGTTCCATTGATTACTTCGTTTTTTCAGACGCTTGTCACTTCTCTCATTTTTATGGTTATCTCAGCACATCTCCGACCCAATTTCAACGTCTTATTGCTAGAGCTGGTCATTTGCATCGGATGCACACTGTTGATCATTGCTTTTGCTTCACAGACAAAATTCGAATTGACTACGTAAGTAGCCAGTGTCGTAGAAGCTGTCATCACACTTTTCACATTTCCAGAAGCGTGGCTTACATCTTTATCTTCTTCACATGCTTCGTAATGTTCGGAATTGTTTTCTTCGTTTGCCCAATGTTCTTCACAGTCAAACTCCAAACTTTGATCATCGCGCTCGTGGCAGCTCTTTTCATGATGATCTATCTTTTTTATGGCATTCATTTGGTAATGGGAGGAAAAGGTTATGAAGAAATCTCTCCTGAAGAATACATATTTGCGGCCGTAGAAATTTTCCTCACCGTCGTCTTAAGGTTCGTGGAGATGCTCTTTCTTTGCATATCACGGTAGGTATTGAAACTAGTACATGGTTTAAGAAACATTTATTTTCAGTCGTTAGACAGAAACATTCTGTATTATGAATAGCCATTCACATGACAAATCAAAAGGAGCTACCCGGAGAGAAATTTTGGAAATTCAAAATGTTCCCAAATTCAAACAATTCGAAAATAACTCATATTGATAAAATAAATTTGTAATAATTAAATAAATTATTGAATAGTTTTAAAACGATTCTAAAAAGATACCGTAACTCCAGAAAAACCTCCGATATATCACTTGTCTCCCCTTCTTTAAAACAGCAAAGGTACATCTGGCTTGTTTATTAGGTTGGAAGAAATTTTTTTAATTATTGCTTCTTATAATCGGCACATCCATCACACTCGCAGTACTCTTTTCCTGTTCCACAATATCCTCCGTTCGAGCAACAATGCTTTGAATTATCGTCAGGATTGCAAATGGCAAGCTGAAAACAGAACAGTATTTCTCGAAACTTCAAATTAACGATGCTTATGTGATTAGAAGTATAGTTCGAAAAAATGTTCTACTGGAGTTCCAGAAGTTTTTTTTCCCGGAAATCAAATGTATCATCGGTTCAACTGGAAACTACTGCACGTATTTCAATAAAAAGCTTTAACTCTCACCTTCCCATTCAACAGTGGCGCGTCTTTTCCACATCTTCCCCGTTTTCCGTCCACATCATTCATCATATACCATTGAACTTCTCTACTAGGTTTTACGGGCTCATTCGCGATCAACATAGGATCCTTTCGATAGTCTATGCAAGTCTCACATCCACAATATTCCTCCTCATTTCCACAATACCCTGCAGCGCCACAGCACGAGAACCCTGGATCGTCAGGAGCACAAACCGGGTAGTATCCGTTGATGAGCTTTGCGGACTTTCCACACATTCCTTGAACGGTTTCATCCGAGTTTTCGGGTGTCCACCAACGAACGTCATCTACTGGATTGCACACGTAGGCGTTGCCAGAGCCGGCACAGATATTGGTTGAGGAGACTAGGTTCAGAAGGGTGTCGGCGTCATCATCAAGGTCCAGAGCCCAAATCATTATTCCACCAAGATTCTTGCCAGTTGCATAATTCATTTTCTCTCTGAGACTTCGTTCGTTTTCAAAGCCCAAGAATTTACGAGCACCGGAATTAAAAATGTAAAGGGTTTTGGTTTTGTCGTGCCAAGTCGCTGCTCCCTTATTCCATCCCTGCTTCTCCAAATTCCTCCATCCAACATAGCCTCCTTCGAATTTCCCGTTCACTTCCTGAGCAGTCCTACACATTCCGTCTTCACCTCTAATCGGTTCTAGAACGTTCTCCCAGAATCTTCCATAAAACATAACACCCATATTCAGCATTCCAGGTTTTTTGGTCTTACAGGAATAGAACTTCATGGTAAAGTCAGCGTTTAGTTTTCCAGAAAATCCTTTAAGCGATCCGAAATACAAAGGAGATGGTGGTCCAGTATACGCACCCCATTTAGATGCCCAAGCTCCGTAGTAGTCATAAGTCATGATGTTCAAAAAGTCAGCGTACTGTAGAATACCATTCAAATCGTATCCCTTTCTCAAATTCCATTCTCCTGCGGCAGTCGCTAATGTAATCAGGTATTTGGATCTCCGATTTTTAGACGCTGCCAATTGATCGAGTCTTTGTCGTAGCTCACGGATAAGAGTTACATGATTATTTTTATCAGCGCCTTTCTCCGCAGGATATTCCCAATCCACATCAACCCCATCTATTCCATAAGATTCAATGAAGTTTGCCACTGAGTTGATGAAATGGGCACGTTTTCCTGGATCTGCAGCCGTCGATGGGAAATATTGAGAATTGTCCCATCCGCCAATAGCGAACATAATTCGGACACCAGAATTTGCTGATCGTGCCTTCTGTATACATATTTTGTTTAAAATATCATCTGTAAAGTGTTGGCCCACCTTCTTCATATCCAAAAACCGTCTTTTCGCTTTTGCACCAGCCTCCGGTCCCGGATCATCTTCACTAACCGGTCCGAATTCAACACTTCCATCCGGTTTCATGGCAACAAACGCAAAAACTACATGTGTCAGTTTCCTCAGTTGGTTTTCTGTGATTTCGCGGTCTCCCCAGCTCGTATAGTACCCAACGAATCATAAGTCATCGAATCATAAGAATCATAGTTTCCCGCAGGATGCCGCAGGTACAGAACCTGTGAGTTTATGGTGCGAACATTTAGGTTTTCAGGAACTCACTATGTCCGGTAGGTTCAGCTTCTCCTTCTCCATTGTTAGTGTTTTCTGGTTGTTTTGCTTCTTCACAAGGATTCTTCCATGACTGGACCAGCGTATCCTCTTTATACTTCTCCGTTCCAAAATACATTCCATCATTTTTGGCAACATAGTAGAAATTCTTTTTTCCTTGATTTTTAGACTTTCCACCATAAACATCAAATCCAAGTTTGCCATCAAGATAATCCATGTTTCGATCCACGATCTCACAAGTGAATACAGTTCTTCCAAAGATGTGAGGTTTGAACGAGAAGCCTCTTTCCTGCTCCATGAGCTCCCAATAACAAGGCTTACAAGGGAACCATGTTTAGCCTTCATCTCAGAATTTTTTCTAAATTTGCTCATTTATAATTTCAAATACAGGCTTTCTTTTGATGTATTTGGTTTTTTGCACAAATTTCTAGAAGTCGAGTTATGGGCTGTTTAAGTGATTTCAGTACTAATTTCTCACTTTTGGAGTGAGTTTTTGAAAGGGTTAATGGGAGTTTTTTGGCATTGTTTAAGTGTCAATCGCAATTTTAAATGTTTCTCTACAATCTGACAAAGTTTCCTCATTTTTCAAAAAAAAATTTTTTGAAAAATTTTTTGCGAAATTTTCAATTTTTCGAAAATTTTTTAAATGTGCTAAAATGAATTCTAAACGCATAAAAATAATAAAATGAGTCTTTTCACAAGATTCTGTAGCCTATATCCGTTTTGAAATCCGAAATAAGTGATTTCTTCCAAAACTCCAATGAATCGTAGTCCTTCGAAAATCACCCAATAGCACTCAAATATTGTGAAAACATAGATTTACATACTTCTTGACTGATTTATGACAGTTCCGCAACCAATATGATCAAATAGGGGGATTTCGACTTTTGAGTAGATAAGGCTTTTCAGCAGTTCTTCAAGAATTTTTCAGAAATTATCTTTTTCGAGCTTTTTTCCTACTGAAATAATAGAGCAAACATAGTTTTGATTTTCGAAAAGTTCAAAGCATTCCTCCAACATCAAAGAAAAAAAAGAAAAAAGAAAATGGACAGTGACGGAATCGAACCCCAAACTTGTGATTACTATTCATCACCACTATCCACTCAGCCACTGTTGCTCGTTTATTCGACAGTGGAGAATGTATAGAGGAAAGGGGGGAAAGTGGAAGGGAAGGAGGAGACCAAAAAAACAGCATATTTTCAGATGGACTTTTCTCGGCTTCTAGAAATTTGTGCAGAAAACCGAATACACCACGAGAAAGCCCGTATTTGAAACTATAAATGAGCAAATTTAGAAAAAATTCTGAGATGAAGGCTAAACATGGTTCCCTTGTTAGTATCTTTACTCCAGCAGCATCTGTAAAACCATTCTGGTAAACTAATAGCTTCCTTATCTATGAAACACTAGATGCGTCGTTGGTAGCAGCTGCCAGCTGGTTGGTTGAAGCGCCGAAGGGGCGGCAAACAGGCTGACTTTCTACTAGTAATATGAATTTTTCAAAGAAATGACTATAATCGGCTTTCTTGACTCTAAAGTTGACTACGTCCTACGAAAAAATTTAGAAAATGATACTTACATAATTGTCCGATACTTTGAACCATTTCAATAAAACACCAAATATCCACTCACCTCCAGACATCGCGGTCTTCTTCATTCGCACACGTCCTATCATTTCTCAATATCACCGCCGCTTTCTCTCCAACTTCACATCCCAACTTGCTCGGTTGATTGAACTTCTCATCAAACGCTTTGATTCCATCCCATCCGAAAACCGCTAAAAGTCTTTCTTCTATATGTCCATAAGATTTCCCATTCGGCCAATCTCTCCATTTACAGCAGTCCTCACACTCGGTATCTGTATCTTCACACATATTTGGGAATGCCAGATCGTGTACTTTAATAGTCGCTCCACCAGACAATTTGAAAGCAATCAAATTCAATGATGATCCCACATTCAACTTTCCGACGAGTCCATAATAGTTGACGGACACAATTTCAAAGCATAATCCGGCATCAGCTGCTAAAAGCTTCTTTATCAGTTCAGATCCGATTGCACATAGTTTCAGGCTAGAATCCACACTTCTTTCTGCAATGTACTTCATTGCTTTAGCATTATTTGGATCAGCATTGTCACAGCCATCGCTGTTACCATAGCATACACGAACTTCTTCTTGGTTCTGCAGGTATTCGATGAAAGGGAATCACAAACTTGCATCCATGTTTGCTTCGAAGAAGCCAACAGGAATAGAACACCCGCCTCCCCAACATTGCTTGTTGGCACTGGTCATTAAGTCGAGAATCGATTTTCCGGAATACGGGGTGATGAATTGACAGCCTATTGCACGTTTTGATCTGAAATACTCAAGTTTAAGGGGATTAAGGAGCATGTAAGCGAAGGTACCTTTGCCAGTTCTCGTTTTCTGATAACCTTCTATCGTTGTCCTGGTATCTTTGAACTGCTAACGTTTGACAGTAAATCAGGAGTTCTTCGTCTTCACAGAAGCAAGATTTTATGACCTGTCTGAAAACAAACAATCGATTCTGAAAACTCACCTTGAAGCTTGTGAAACTCACGAAGTCAAAGTCTTCATCACTTTATTACAATATTCCTGTCGTAGCAGTGGATGCTGACTGTCAAAAGCTCTTCGAATGATTATATTCGTTTTATATAACGTCTTAAGTTTACTATTCACTTCTGGTCTCTGAATGGAAGACGTTAACAGTTGATTCAAAGCATTAGAATTTGCTTCAGACGGGTCGTTTTGAAACTTTTGAAAATGTTCCATCAGCCCTGGCACTAATGAATTCAAACTTGTCACCACCGCTTCTTGAGCGGTTCGAGTATCCATTCCAAGATTACCAATACACACGAGACTGTTTAATTTGAGACTCTCTCGACAATCTAATATAGGATTCAGATTCTGTAGTTGATTTATTGACAATTGAGTTTCGTTCAGTATCTTTTGACAAGTGTCCGATCCGGGTATGATTCTCATGTAGTCCGTGCAGTTCGAAGTCTTGAATGTTCCCACTCCGATACAAACTTGTTCCGTTATGTTCAATTTTTCGCAGTTTAGTGTTGGATTCAAGTTAAGCATCAGAGGAATACTCATTGAAAATTGCTGACTGACATAAGAACATGTTCTGTTGAAAGGCACATGTTGAATTGAGGCACAATTTTGAATAGTGCTTTCTCCTGAAACGTATATTTCAGTATGTCTGGCTAGTGGTTTGTCACATGGAATGACAGAATTCAGGAATTGTAATTCATCGACGGTTATGGAATACCGGCGAGCGATTTCCAAACAAGATGTACCTTTAAAAAATGAATCTGAAGTACGGGCCTCAAACAAAAAGTACCCATTTCGAGAACGATTTTCTTGGTACACGTCATGTTAGCCAAAGTTCTACCCTCAATTGACCAAATACAAATTCGCCTCCCGACTTCTCACACTTCAAATCTTGATTCATTTCCTCAATTTCCAGAGGATCCAGTTTGAAAGCTTTCCCAATTGAATGACAAGTATCCGAGCTTTGAATCAGATACCGGTGTTGGCAAGTGTATTTTTCCGACACACACAGTGTATCTCCTATCTGAAAAATGTTTTCCCTGATGGATTTCAAAGATAGTGAATTTACGTTTAGGTTATCACAGTTGTACTGGTTCTGCAGTTCTTGTAGTGACAAATGAAACTCTTTGGCGACTTGAAAACAGGTATCTCCGGTTTTGATTGTGGTGTACTCATCACATTTGACAGGAGCTTTAATGAAAACATGTTTTACTTGAAGAGTCTAGGATTTCTTGGAATGAGTTTAATAATCACAAATCTATAATCTTGGAGTAGTCCAACTTACATTCAACCAGTGGAAGGGCCGGATGGTCGGAGGTTTCTGAAGATCGTTCCGTTGAGTTTATGGAAGTTGCAGCCTTTGTAGTCTCTGGTTTCGGAGTACTCAAAGTTGGATCGAAACTGACACAAATTTGCGGACCGATTGCAATTTTGTTACAGTCGAGATTAGGGTTAATCTCCAGCAACTGTCTTTCGGATAATCCATTTTCAGTCCAGATCGTATAACAGTAATTTCCCGAGGTTATCCTGTAGAACTTTGTGCAATCGGGTCTAGTAGAAGACTGTTGAGTGCAAAGCCTAAAAAATCACAGTGTTTTCTTTCAAATTAAAAAAAAAAGATCACCTCTGCCCAACCCATAGCTGGTCACAGTTCAGTCCTGGATTCAAAGCTATCAGATTTTCTATTTGAATACCCAGAGCATTTGCGATTCCCCAGCATGTGTCTCCATTTTCCACGACTCTCCAGGCAGAACAGAAAGCAGCAGAAGTTCTAGGTATTTTGAATAAGAATATAAATAAGTATAAAACATTGCATGTTTTCATGAAGATCAAAAAAGAACGGTTTTTTTTTTAAATTATGTGAGAAAAAAAGGTTTCGAGAGGTTTTTTAGGGAAGACAAGCAAACTTGTACAAACATACCTAAAGATTAACACACAAAGATCTTCAGTTTTTTTTGCCCACATACAGAGACAACAAAAAAGTTGTTTTAACAGAATCATCCTGACTATGATCTAGGGAATTCGAGTACAATGTTTCTGAGATTTGCGTTTTTGAATAGTCGCTACTCTCTTTGTAGATCTTGTCGACATCTATCCAAATTTTACTTTTTGATTCAATCCGAAATTTCAAGTTTGAAGCGATTAAAGTACTCTCAATCATTGATGAGTCATCATCAAATATCTCTTTTTCCCTTAATTACGAAAATTGACCAATTTCAATCCTGAGGAATAATTAATTTTGCTGACCAATCAAGTAATCATATTAGTATCTAGTTATATTGCTCAGCAGCAATTTTATATAAAGATGACGAACAATGTCAAGTATTGCTAATCATTTGTTTTTCTCTATGGGTTGCTGTCTTTGCAAATTTTTCCGAAAGCGGAGGTTTTCCATTTTTGATTGATACGTTTTCGAATTTTGTTTTTAGAGAACCGACTGTCTCCATCACCGATGAACCCAGACCCCAGTCATTCACCATAGACGAGAAGGATCTGGAATTTTTGGTTATAATTGAGAATGGAGATTTCGGCACTGTCAAGAAGGCTATTGTGACCAAGAAGAACTCAGGGACTCAGCTGAATGTATTAATTAAATGTTGGTTTTGTTTTCATGGAGATTCTAAAAATTTCATATTTCAGATAACGATAGACCCCACGACAAGAGTCAATTTAAACATCTGCTCAATGAGAGAGATATTTTGTGCTCTTTAGATTCCCATCCGAATATAGCCAGCTTGATTGGTTTGGTTCCAGCTAGGTTGGTCTCGAGAGACTCATATGATCCTAATATTACCCAGTAGAGATGGTGCCAGTAACCCCAAAAATTTCAGAAACTGGATAATCCTAGAATATGCTGATGGTGGAAATCTGGTGTCCTATCTCCGTCGCCACTTAGAAGTATTCAAAGACCAAATTGTCTACTCGTCCTCCGGAAACTTAAAAGGGTATATGAACTTCACAAATCCTCCTTGTAAAACCGACGAGCTCAAAAGAGCCGAAATGAGTGATGACCTACATTCTTTGTGCACAATTGATCTTTTCGCGTTTGCATATCAAATTGCTAATGGAATGAAGTACTTGGCAAGTGTAAAGGTATGTCGAAAACCCAAAATTTTGAAAATTGTGAGGCATTTTGTAGTGCACCCATCGCGACTTATGCCTTTCCAATATTCTTTTGACAAACCGAAAGACTATTCGAATTGGAGATTTTCGGTTGGCTAGGAAAACAGAAGAGAGTGGCTACTATAGGTGAGCTGACTCAAAAGCCTTCTTTCTTTCGATTATTATGATTTTTCCAGGATCGTCAAGCAAGTTGAATCATTAAGATTGCTGTGGACGGCACCAGAAACAATTGAAAAGAATACATCAAACGAGAAGTCCGATGTTTGGTCGTTTGCAGTTTGTCTCCATGAGCTGTTCTCATTAGGAGAGGCCCCAGATGCAGGTGTCAGATTTGAAGACTTTCATGTTTTTCTGAAAAGTGGTGGAAGATTCAATGAGCCAGCATACTGTCCTCCACGAATGTGAGTTTATCATTTATTTCTATAGCTATAGCTCAAATTTCAGCTACACTTTTATGCTATGGTGCTGGAAAATGGACCCTGAAAAGAGGCCAACATTTTCAGAATGCTTCGACTTTTTTTGCACCAATATCAACAGTTATGATATTCACGTAATTTTTCGTTCGATGTTTCTTGCAAAAAAATTTGTTTCAGATGACAAAGCGAATTGATGAAAAGCTGAAAACGGATTTGGAGATGCAAGAGAATCAAAAAAATTGGGCACGAGCAAAGTTGGCTTGAAAATTCTTGTCTATTGAAACTGTTCTTTGTTGTTTGATTGAGAATTTAAAAATTATATTTATTTTACACAATTTTTATCAATTGAACACAAACTTTATATTGTTTTAATTAAATGAAAATAGTTTTTACTCAACAAGAAGACAATTTGTTTTCATTGTTTTACACATCTCGTTAGTTTTTACATTTTCTTCTTGATTCAAGCCAAAATTCCAAAATACACCGTGATGACTCATATGGTACATTCTGCGTCTTATACCTTGATCGCGTCTGACAGATCAACATTGTCTTACCCCCTCCCATCTAATCAGTTGACTGACGGGGTAATCTGGTCACCTATCTCCGTCGTCATTTGGCAGTTTTTGAAGACCAAATCGTCTACTCGGTCTCCGGAAACTTGAAAAAGTACATGAATTTTAGGAATCCCCCTTGTAAAACCGACGAGCTCAGAAGAGCCGAAATGAGTGATGACCTAGATTCTTTGTCTACAGTTGATCTTTTCGCATTCGCTTATCAGATTGCAAATGGGATGAAGTACTTGGCAAGTGTAAAGGTACATATTCCAAAAATCCAAAGTTTGAAAACTCAGATGCATTTTTTCAGTGCGACAAGTCAGAAAACGATTTGAATTGGAGATTTTCGGTTGGCTAGGAAAACCGAAGAGAGTGGCTACAATAGGTAAGCTGACTCAAAAGCCTTCTTTTCTTTCGATTATTATGACTTTTCCAGGATCGTCAAGCAAGTTGAATCATTAAGATTGCTGTGGACGGCACCAGAAACAAAAATCACAATATTTTACATCGGAATGAAATTTTTAAAGTTTTTTTGAAATTTTCATTATAGAAAATTATTGAAAACGTTTAATAAATAAAATTTTCATTGTCTGCAGAGTTTTGTTCAAAAAATTATTATACAGAGATTGATTATTGATATAATACATTAATGTCAATAGTTACGAATAATTCTTTCAACAAATGCGTTTGATATGTTGGTTCGAGTTTTCAATTCTTCCTTCATCATGTGGGTAAGGTTTTTGAGAATCTGAAAATGAAGATTTTATTTTCTCTTGGAACTTTTTGCATAAGCAACTGTGATTTCAAAAAAAATCAAAACTCTATTAGCAATTTTTTTAAATTGCTCTAACTTATCACCTCAGGATCAAAACTGTCCAAAATTTCAGAGAAAACATTTTTGTAATCCGAAAAATTTGGCCGGCTGCTGGGCGTAATGTTCCAGCAGTTTTCCATAATTTTATATCTGAAAATTTTAATTTTTTTCTATTTTGAAAATTTTCCAATCTCACATTCTCGGAGGACAGAATTCCGGCTCGGGGAATTTTCCCTGAAAATTCGAAAACATAAAAGCAGGATCCATTTCCTCTGGTAAGTCCCCAAGAGTCCATAACTCGAACAGACAAATTGCAAATGACCAAACATCCGATTTTTCATTCGACACATTATCCCGAAATGTTTCAGGAGCTGTCCATAGCAATGGAGGAACCACGGAGGACATTCTGGAAATTTGGTTGGGCAATTAACTTTTTTATTCAATACAATTACCTATAATTACGAGCTCTGGCGAAATCAAATCCTCTTAATCGGATTGTTTTGTTTGCAGTCATATAGATATTGTGAAGTGCCAAGTTTTGGTGAACAATCTTCAAAAATTGATTCTCATAAAATTAAAATTTTTAAAAATTACCATTCTCCCAGCCAAATATTTCATTCCATTTGCTATTTGATAAGCGAACGAAATTAGATCCAAAGTACATAAAATCGGTTTGAAAACTCCAAGTTTTTCCAATTCATCTGTCTTCTGCATTTTGTTATTTGGTAACATATAACCATTTGAGTCTATTTCTGAATATACGATTTGGTTGGAAAATTGATTTTTGTGCTTCTTCAAAAAACTTCTCAGAGGTCTGCCTTCAATGTATTCCCAAACTGGTGAGTCTCTGAAAATAATATGTTACAGTTATCCAAGAAATTTTACGCTTACATAACATTAGCAAAGTTTAAAAACGATGAAACATTAGGGTGTGAACCAATGCTTCCTAGAATTTCTTGCTGGATAAGTGTAGTTTTGGTTTCTGAAAAATGTTTTTTAACACTGTTTAAATTTTATGTGAGTTCTAACTCTCCAAAATTGCTGCAACCTGCTCATCATCCTGTTTCACAATCGCATTTCTTGTTAAATCAGAATTTTCCCTTGTCTCAAAAAATTCCAAAAAATGGCCATCAATGACTAGAACTTCTGTTTCTGTCTCATCAAGATCGCTGAAATTTTCATTTTCTTTGAAAACAAATTTTCTCAAATACCTGATTTCCCCCGAAACTCCCACCAAGCCTCTATATTTTTTACATTTTTGGATCACTAAACAAATAATAGCAAATAGAAATATAAAAACTGCAGGCAGTGCCAGAAATACTAGAATTTTCCATTTAAGGAGATCTGGAATCCCGAAAAACGGGAAATTATTCATTTTTCAACTGCTGTAAGACAAAAAATGAATGAAAATGAGTAATAGAAATTGCTTATCAGTATTAGAAGTGAGGAAAACTAAGGGTGAGGAATAGAGAACGAAAATAAGATGACTAACAAAACAAATAAGCAAGAAAATGTTAAAAATTTTTATTGCAGTTCAATAATTCAAAGAAATGTAGATAATTTGGCGATTTCTCGAAATTTGAAGTAAATCCTAAAATATCAAAAAAAAAACATTTTTTACTGAAAAATCGGTTTTCAGTGAATTTTTTCAGTTTTCGATTTTTTTAAACTTTTGGTTCGTAAGGCAGAAACTCTGATTCTAAAAGTAGAACCAACTGTTGTTCTGCTACGAAAAACACTGGAGCTGTTCAAAAAAAACGTCCCTCAGCGATAACTACAGTAACCTAATAATAATTTTTCCAGGATCAATTTTCTCACTGTTTACTGATTTCGGTCGATTTTTCTACAAACAAGTCGAAAAGCAACATGTTTGATAGTTTAAAAATTGACTGATAGTTTGTGAAAAACAAGAAACATAAACAAAAATAATAACATTTTCAGGTTACGGTAGTTGTAATTGTCGTTGTGGGACATTCTGCCACGACCACCGGCGTTCCTCTTCCACAGCTCCGATTTTTTATTCTACCGGATTTCCTCTTATGAAGATGTTCACCTAAATCGTCAATTTTGAGCTTAATCATTTCAATTCCTGTGGATGGTATCAAAAATTGGTCACTGATTAATTATTTATCATAATATTTCCAGCATTTTATCAGTTGATTTTATCAGTCAGAGTTTTATCAGTTTTTATCAGTTTATCAGCAGTTTTATCAGTTGAGATATCTTTTACAGGAATCGAGATAATTGAGCTCAAAGTAAACTGTTTTTGTGGCAAAAATTGAATATTTCTTTATTTTCTCTGATTCTAAAAACAATAAAAATACAAAAAATTGAGCTAAAAACCCGGAAATCCACAAATAAGACAACCATAACGAGATCATTCACTCTCCCGACGAATCCAACATTCTGTTTCCCATCTTTTTTCAAAAATCAAATTCAATTTGTCATCTAATCGAGTATAGTCTTGATCGCAAAGAATCTTCAAGTGCTCCTTGAAAAAATCAGCGCACATTTTGAAATTTGGTCTGAACAGCGGATCGGCTACCCAGCAGAGATTCATGAAATCGTAGCTGAAATTTTCAATAGTTAAAAGTTCTTTTTTCCATTATTTGTGACCTACATTTTCTTATTGCAATATTGGGGCTCTTCCAGTCTATTATTCTTGAGGAATACTGAAACATCACTGACCCCTGCATATGGTTTATCACCCAATGTAAATATTTCAAAAAGGGAAACTCCGAATGACCAGATATCCGTCTTTTCAGTGAATTTGTGAGTGTGGAAGCATTCTGGAGCCATCCAGAGGACTGGTAGTTTAATATCACCGTTATTGATTCTAAAAGAAATTTTTAAACTGAAAGTTAAAGTATTTTACCTATAGTAATCAGAATTTTCATGTCTTCTGGTCAATCCGAAATCTCCAATTCGAATTGTTCCATCACCCATGAGGAACACATTTCGAAGTGCCAAATCTCGATGAACACACTAAAATGCATGTTTGTTATCTATAAACTTTTTTCAGCATCTCACCGGTATACTTGCCAAGTACACCATACCGTTTGCTATCTGATATACAAATGATATCAGATCAGCAGTGGAGATGAAATTCAAATTTGTGCTCAACCCTGCCCCTTTTCTATATGTTCCGGTTTTTTGTGGTGGCACTCCTTGATAAACCAGAAGATCCGAAAAAATTGATTGGCTTTTGATCTTTCTCAGATAATCCAACAGAGAACCATTTTCAGCGTATTCAGTGATAATCAAAGCTCCGTTTCTGATACAATGAACTGTCAACGTTCACAGATTTGAAAAAAAAATAACTCACGAATTCTTAGAAGTCACTGCTCCAACCAGAGCTAAAACATTCGGATGACATTTGATGGCGCACATAATTTTGATTTCATCAATTATCATTTTTTGCTGTTCCGGATCATATGACAAACGAGCTCCTGATAAATTCAAATTTAAATAAGTTTTTATCTTTTGAGTCACTACTTTTCACAGCAACATCGATTCGGTTCTTCAGTCTTGCCTGGTTCACAAATCCATACTGTCCTTCTCCAAGCTTCCTTCCCATTTCCAGATGCCGTGGGTCCACCTCATAGTTTTCATCGTAACCCAGCTCATCGGCATTCAGCAATGAAACCAATTCTCTCTTCCGAGTAGGTCTTAATTTGATGTAATTGTTATGACGGGCTCTAAAATAAGTTTTTAAATGGCAAAACTCAAAATTCTCACCTGGTTCTTCTTTGGGTTCTTGGTGATCTTGTTCCGCATCTTCTCCAAATCAAAAAGCCGAATGCAAACATGAGAACAAGAATACCATAAATAAAGAACACTAGAAAATAGTTCCTATCGATAATGCGTTGGATGTTTCTTGGTATTTTTATTTCTCGAGCTGCTCTTACAACTCTTTGCAGAGCAGATGATCGGGTAACAGGAAGTGGGGATCCTTCAGAAAAGCTGGAAATGGGGCAATGAAAAATAAAATAAGAGAAAACTTACTACCTGGAAATATGAATGAAGATAAGTAGAAATAAAAGAATCATTGCAAATACAGCAGCCACTGTTGGTAAAAACAACTGAACGAGACAATTGTATTTACTTTGACTGTCTGTGTATCCCCCATATTGCTAATTTTAAACTGCCCTCTAGCGGGAAGAAGTAGAGATCGAGAATGATTAGGAACATGAGGAATGATACAAAAGAAAAGAATACTCGTATGAGTCATCACCTCACAGTTCCTGGGAGATGATGCGCATAAAGGACCCGATTCATGTGCGATCCTCTAGAAGTCCGTTTGACACATATCGCGAACAATGAGCCGCGATGAGTCTTATATGTGCGCGATGTGGGAGAGGCTGAATCGAGTGTTCCAAATGCGAGTGTATCCTAGATGGCTTCTGAGTGGGTGGGCGATATGTGGGATATGGGTCTGATACGGTAGGCAGCCTTCAACACTCCGAAATCCCACTCCGAAATCTACACTGCGTACCGAAAAAGTGAAAGTGAGACATAGTTTTCGAAAAATTAAAAATGCTTTTTCTAGCGATTTCTTCTATCTTACTTCTTTTTTTGTGTTCTTAAAATATGGATTTTCATCTCAAATTTCAAGGAAAACTGCCATGAATCTATTTCAAGATCAAAACAAGAAGTTTTAAAAAATCAGGAGTATGTCAGTCGAAAAATAAAAATAGAAAGAAAAATAAATAAGAAGTACGAAATTGGAAGATCTGAACAAACATACATCTCAATAGAACTCAATTGATACATTTAGGAACCCCCAACGAGCATTTTTATCAATTTTATCAAGTGTCAGCAAGCTATGAGAGGAGATGCTTTGCGGCGGCGGTGTGCCCCATATGCCTCGTATATGTCCCATACCGGCGCCCTTTCCCTGTACCCATTTCCTCGGCGCGTCCTCCATCTCTCATCCATTATGCGCATCATCGCCCAGGACCTGTGCTGGTATATATTCCATGAGAAGTGACAATAAATTTTCTCAAACGAATTTAGATAAAGGTTCCAACTTTGTGTGTCTAGAGAATGATTTTTCCAAATGTTTGCTTATCTAATCTTTAGTCATTTTCTAGAAACACAACATTTACAACACAAAAGATAACTTTCAGCTAAATTCTGTTAAGGAAATGTATTATCACTCCTTATTTATACCAGACAGAGTTATCAGGGGGTGAGATTTTAGAACTCGGCAGCCGGAAGTCGGAAGTCGTCCTTCCTTACATCTCTGATCCCATAACTAATACGGGTATATTTTTCTTTCCCTCATTCCTCATGTTCCTAATCGTTCATGGTCTTCATTTGTTTGCCGCAAGATAGTGTTTATGGCTAGCAATATGAAACACAGACAAAAAAGACAAAGTAAATACAATCGTCCTGTCGGCTGCTGTGTCTCTGTATTCTGTGATGGTTCTCTCATTTCTATTGATTCTTATTCTAATTTTCAGGTAATCTTTTTTCCCTTGTTTTAATATCCATCACCCGATTTCCAGTGTCTCTCAAGGATTCCCACTACCTGAAACCCAATCGTCTGGTCTGCGAAAAACTGTGAATACAGGAGTAAAATTTCTAGGAAACTTGCGAGAGCTTATCGATAAGAAATATTTCTTGGTACTCTTCATTTTTGGAGCTCTTGTTCTTGGTTCTGGGCGATGATGCGCATAATGGATGGGAGATGGAGGACGCGCCGATGAATTGGGTACGGCACAAATTCAATAAGCGGTTTGTTTTCTTTTGAAGCGAAAACACACAAGGGAAATGAAACATCAAAATGGCTTGATATTTGGAAAATGGAGAAACGCGCAGTTTGGAAATTCTAAATTCAAGATTCTTGAATTCTAAAGATGTTGTGGAAATTCTGAAAACCGATGTCTATTAATCCCAAAAAATAATATTTTAATTCTTCAATTCCACCCAAAAAATGTACAAAAAAATGTCAAAAACTCTCCAAAATCTTCGCATCACAATAACTTTTCAAATTTCCGAGTTTTTCGAACAAATAGCTGGCAAACTCGAGAACATAGAAAGTCATAAAGAATGCACAAAACATTGCGGATTTGATGAAAAACTCCTCTCGTGGATTATTGAAATCATCCGCGTAGATGAGCATTCCAAAACTGACAAAACATCCGTAAAAAATTCTGAAAAATTATATTTTTTTCTAAAAAAAAATAAAACTTACAGAAAGAATAGCACAGTATTTAAAATAAATTCTGCGTTTGTATATTTTTTCTTGGATTCCACTGGATTTTCAAAATTCGTTTTCTCCAATTTCGCATTTTCTCGCAGCTTTTTCAGATGAGCCCAAAAATAGAAAATGAGGAAAAATGCAGTTGCAAAATGCCAAATGGAAAAATCCGCAAGATGTTCATCGAAAATGGATAGTTGAATTCCGTTTGAGACTAAAAATACACTGGGGCAAAGACAGAGAATCACAGAGAAAACCAGAAAATCTGAAAGTTAATTTGTTTTTTTTAAATTTAAAGAAAAAAGAACTTGCGCTTAGAATTACTTCCTTTTTTGGAATCCATTTCGATAGCTCTGAAATTCGAAAAACCCCATTGAAATGAAAATCCCATATCCTTTTTTATATGGTTCTAAACTTGAAAAACAAAGGGATGAGCTGTCTGAAAAATAGAAAACAAGTCTAGAGGATTAAAATTAAACGGGACTGTTTCTTACGATTCGTTATTTTTTCTGAATTTCTGAATTTCTGAATTTCTGAATTTCTGAATTTCTGAATTTCTGAATTTCTGAATTTTTCTGAATTTCTGAATTTCTGAATTTCTGAATTTCTGAATTTCTGAATTTCTGAATTTCTGAATTTCTGAATTTCTGAATTTCTGAATTTCTGAATTTCTGAATTTCTGAATTTCTGAATTTCTGAATTTCTGAATTTCTGAATTTCTGAATTTCTGAATTTCTGAATTTCTGAATTTCTGAATTTCTGAATTTCTGAATTTCTGAATTTCTGAATTTCTGAATTTCTGAATTTCTGAATTTCTGAATTTCTGAATTTCTGAATTTCTGAATTTCTGAATTTCTGAATTTCTGAATTTCTGAATTTCTGAATTTCCGGAGTTTTTTGGAATGAACTTGAACTTTTAAAACTGAAAATTTTCAAATATCCGGGTTTCTGAACTTTTGCTTTTTTGTTTTGAATTTTAGAGATTTTTCGAGTTTTTAGGACTGCTGCATTGTTTAATACCTGATTTTTTGAAGCTTTTCTAATACTTCATTTTCGAGAGAATTTTGAAAAAAAACGAATTTCTTGGAAGTTTGGTTTGAAAATTTTTGGAAAATTTCCAAAAATTATTTTTTTTTTCAAATTAATTCATTCCCACGAAAATTTCTGTTAATTATCGAATCAAACATTTCAAATTTTCCACTGTCTTCTCATGAAGACTTCTCTTCAAATTCAGAATTCTGCCGAACAAGAAAACTACAACAGGAAGAATGAAAATGAGCAATGAGAAAGTACAATACAAAAAGAATGCCCAATAAAATTCATAACGATAGTCCCCAGTTTCCAAAACGTCCAAAACATTGTAACTGATGTAGAATCCTACAAAGATCTGAAATTTTTCCATTTTTTCGATTTCAAAGTTTTTTAAAATTTCTTACAAAATGAAATAAACAGTCTTCAAAATCAATTTGACATTGTTCAATCGTTTTTGGTTTTTCTGAAATCGTTCTTCATCCGGAAATTCACTTTTTTCCTCTAGATTTTTATCGTGTTTTGCTTGTCCAAATATCTGAATGCAATGAGCCAGAAAATAGATAATGAAGCAGGAAATAGTCGCAAAATTCCAGAATTTCCAGTCAGAAATGTAGTCGTCGTAGGAATGAATTCCAGCAAGTATAAGGCAAACGATGGGAGCGATATAAATCAGAGAAGAGATGAGAAGGAAGCCTGGAATGTTTAGGAATCTTAAAAGAATTCTGAAATTTTTAAAATTTTTAAACTCACAAATTGCTCTGGCTCTTATCGGTTGGGTGAATTCCGGCTGGGAGTCCATCATGAAAAACATACAAAAATGAGACGAAATTTTTCAGAATTCTGAGATTCTGAAACACAAAAATTCTCAAATTCTCGAACATTATGAATTATGAAAATTAAAATACCCTGTCATTCCCACCAAAAAGTTTTAGCAAAAAAAAATAGCAGACTAGAAAACCCATAGCAGATGATTTTCCTGATAGCAGACGAGATTCTGAAACTGGAGTAAAAATAGCAGATAAGACAAATATAGCAGACGAGCCAATATAGCAGACGAGTAAATAGCAGATAATACCAAAGCAGATGAGTATTTGCCTAAGTGAAAAGCTTGTAGATCAAAAGCTTTGGATCTATAGTGAACGGGACAATAATATTTCAGATTTGCTGATTATCGAAATTTGAAATGATTTCTGAATTACAGTATTTTGCAGAGAAGTAGCTGGAATATTCAAATAGGAAGTTTTCAGTAGAATTACGGGAGATTCAGTTTTAAAGGTTTTGTATTAAGTTCGAAAGTTATATGGTTCACACGGTACAGCACTTCGGTTTGGATTTTCTTTTTTTTTGGGCCCTCTATTTAAATTTTTGTCCACTATTTTTTTTTTCAGATCCCCTTGCACCAAAACTCATTTAATTATAATTCAAATTGTTAGCACTTGGTATTTTTTCCTTAAAAACTCAATTTTTCCCATTATCAGAAATTTGACTCTTTTTGATTTCTTGGATATTGCTCCAGACAACCGATACAATATGACTGGAGTTATGACGGAGGCGTTACCTATGAAAACTACAAAAATTCAAAGTGGTATTTAATTCCCAAACCAAATAACCAATTTTTTCTAATTTTCCTACAACTATGTCTGAATCTTCTGGAAATTTTTTATTCTGGATTCAAGTCACACATTTTGTCCCAAAACTTGGATTCATTCTCACAACACTTTTCGGATCGCTTCTTCTTCTGCTCAATTATCTCGGCGCGCAAAAAAACTTTGGATCCTATAAATACCTGATCAGTGCGTTTACAATTCTTGGCATGGTTTTTTCAGCCGTTGAGATTCTGGTTTATCCGGTAGGCAATAAGAAGGAAAGATCCTGAAAACCAATAAAGAAAATTCCAGAATGTGCACAATTATAAAGCCGGATTTCTGTTCTTCAGTTTCCAAGAGTCTTTTGGTTTGACAAGTTCATGGAGTAGGAATATACCATTGGCAGGTTACACATTTTTCCATTCAGCCACAATGTCGCTGTTGTCGGTGCATTTTATATACAGATATTGGGCTGTTTTTGAGTGAGTTTTCATTTTAACAAAAATTTAAAAACATCTTTTTCAGCACTAACAAATTAAACTACTTCCAAGGGATCCGGTCTCTGATCTGGTTTGGCTACTGCACATTCTTTGGGTTCCAATATGCCCTTGGAACTTACTTCTTCCTTGCCAGAGACGAAATTGCCGATGAATACTTCCGTGAAGACGTTCTTCTTCGCTACAATGCAAATATCACAGAACTTCCTGCAATGTCAATTGTATCTTATGATCCTGTTGATGGATCAATCCGCTGGTTTAATCTTATGGGAGTGATCAATATCAGCGCAATTGTCAACTTTCAATATGCCATTATGATTTATTGCGGATGGACGATGCATACAAAAATGGAGGATAAGATTAAGCATTTTTCGGAGACATTGAGAAAGCATCATAAGCAATTTTTCAAGACTTTGGTTATACAGGTACGGATCCTTTTGAAGGAAAAAAGGAGAAATATATTTGGGATTACAGATCACAACTCCCACTATCATTCTTTTTATTCCGATTACTATCATCATGATTTTGCCAATTATGAATCTGGATATCAGTCTTCCAACTGGAGTGTTCCTTTGTAGTTTTACCCTCTATCCAGCAACTGATTCGATGACTGTAATGTATGTGGTGTCAGAGTATAAGAATACAGCTAAAAGTGAGTTTAGGAAATTATTTGAAACTGAATGTTTTGTTCAGGAATCCACAAAGTGTTCGGAAATGGAATAAAAGAAATACAAGTATCGAGAATTAGCTCTACAATAAACCCGGCCAGCACAGCACCGTCTTCGTGAATTTAAATATTTTCTTGATAGCTTTTGTTCCGGTTATAGCCTTAAACATGACAACATCATTAAAAATGGTTATCGGAGCTCCACAACCCTTTAATGCTCTAATATAGAAGCCAACCCTATATGTACACTTTAAGCTCAATTTCCGCGGTTACTTTAAAAGATATAAAATACTATTCAACTGATAAATTATTCATCATAATATCAGCAATAATTTAACAGCAGACAGATTTTTTATATCTATTATAGGAACCGAGATACATGAGCTCAAAACGTTTACGGTACTCGTAAGAATATGGAATACCCCGAAGAAGACTATAGTTTGTTCCGAACATTACATCTCACAAAACTTGCACCCAAACCCCATACAAACACTTTTATAGTTTCTCCGGATATATAAATCAGAGAAGTTGTCATTTTCCGATCCAACTACGAAGCATGAAGCTTCTTAGTCTTGTTTTCTTGGTGCCTTTTATTGCGGCCATTTTCCTCGAAGGTAATGGTAACGGTGGAGAAAGACATCATAGTGGAGGTGGTGGATTCTCGTCTTCTTCTTCGTCTTCTGGATCATCTGGTTCTTCTGAAGAACATGGACACCATCATGGGCATAGGCCACCCCACACCCCCATAGACCACCACCACCCAGAAAGCAATGTGATGAGGGATGGATGAGATTCGAGAGACCTAATGGATTGATTTGGTGTATTTATGTGAGTTTGAAAGCCGGTTTCGAAGTTTAAAATGCATTTTTTCAGCTCGGCTATTTTGGAGTCACCAACGGCTACTTTTCTCAAGATCAGGCTCAATCTGCATGTCGAAGTCTCGGAGCCACTCTCACCGGATTTCAAAACGATAATGAGCGAATGACAGTAGCTCGTGAGGCTCTGACTAAAATCACCAACCAAGGGATTATGGTAGCTGGGCTTTGGCTTGGAGCCACAAATCTTCCGGGATGCCGATCTCCTAGTTGTGGACCGTATAGCACTTTTCAATGGACCGATGGACATACAACAGGATTCGAAGGTTTCAAGTGGGGAGTTGGCGAGCCGGATAACAATAATTGGCCGTGAGTTTTTAGTTGGAAAAAATTATAAAAGTAGATGTACACAGGAGGCACGGCTTGCATTCAACAGTTTATCATTTCACCAAACTTCGTGGCGGGACCAAATGACTATGCCTCTTGGAAAGCAGCGTTTATTAATGGAGATTTGGACAAGTATACATGTCAAGCACCAGCCTATCCATACACGAGATACTATTGCTTGTGGAAAAGTCGGTGCTCAACGAACTGCATAAGACTCAATAAGACTCAATAAATAATATTTTCATGGGTTTCCTAGTTTCTATATAAAATAACGGCGTTTTTTAAAGCTAATTGACAAAAAGAAAAGTATAGTGTACTACTGAAATGCGATCCAAATAAGGAAAAAAGCAGAATGATCTCGGGCGGGCTCGAACCACCGAAACTCTGTGTGTTACACAGGTCCTGGGCGCGCATACGCATAATGGATGGGCGACGGAGGACGCGCCGATGAATTGGGTACAGGGAAAGGACGCCGGTATGGGGCATATACGGNGCATATGGGGCACACCGTCGCCGCAAAGCATCTCCTCGCCTGGCTTGCTGGCACTCGATGAAATGAACTAAAACGTTGGTTGGGGGTTCCTAGAAATATTAGNTAAAGTCTATTGTGATGTGATTTTGTTCAGGTCTTCCGATTTCGTACTTTTCCTTTATTATTCCATATTTTTTATATTTTGAACGACATATTACTGATTTTTCGAAACTCAATGTTTTGGTTTTGAAAAAGACTTATGGCAGTTTCCATTTAAATTTGATATGCAATCAAAAACAGAAGAAAATGGGAAAAAATTCGCTAAAAATTGTTTTTTTTTCATTTGTTCAAAAAATGTCTCACTTTCACTTTTTTTGAAATTGCATGAAAAATTGAAAATTTTTATAGTTTAAACTTTGTAATTATTGTATACTTACCAACTTACCTTTTATTCCACCTGAAAATACGATTTTTACAATAATTACAAAGTGAAATCAAAAAATCTCAATATCACCTATTTTGGCGAAAAACATAGCAATTAACGAGTGAAAGACATGTTTCTGCAAGAATTCAGCGATTTTTTATTCTGCCATAACTCTTTTTCACAAAAAAAACATCGAAGGAATAATCGAAAAACCAGAAATGTAGGCTCGAATTGACGAAAAATTGGCAAAGTTGCCGGTGTGGATTTACGGTAAACAATGGGCGCATCCGGGATTTCGGAGTGTTGTAGTCGGCCTACCGTATCAGACCCATATCGCACATATCGCCCACCCACCCAGAATCCATCTAGGATACGCGCGCATTCGGTACACTCGATTCAGCCTCTCCCGCATCGCACACATATGAGACTCATCGCAGCTCGTTGTTCGCGATATGTGTCAAACGGACTTCTAGAGGATCGCATATGGATCGGGTCCTTTATGCGCATCATCGCCCAGGACCTGTGACTACACCACGAGACCGCTGTTGGAAACAGGAGCGCCATGGCATACAAGAAGGGACACTAACGAGGGCGCGACACACACGCACTAGGTGACCTTCATAAACGCAAATTGACCCTTGCACTTTCGGCCTGCTTAGTATAGTGGTTAGTACTCCACGTTGTGGCCGTGGCGACGCTGGTTCGATTCCAGCAGCAGGCATTGTTTTCTTTTTAATTTTTTGTTTCGGTAATAGGTCTAAAAATGTGGCTTCGGGCGTTTTAATTTGGTTCTTCACGTGTTTTGATCCAGTTTCGTAGTTTCTTGGGATAAAATTTTTAGAAGAGATTCATTTCTTATCGGCATTTATTTAGGTGTCTCTAGTTTCTTTTTTCAATGCAATTTCAATTTTAACATGCAAATGGAAAACCAAAAATAATTTCAAAATCTGAATAAAAATATATTTTTTGTTTTTTTTTTGAGTTTACATTTTGTGTAAGTTTCCAATCTCCAAACTTCTCGTCTTTTTCCCCCATTTTCAGTGCGCGTTCGTTTTTTCGTTTCTTCTTTTCTGTCTCATTTGTTAACGTTCTCTTTCCCCCATCTCCCCGTCGCCCGTATAGCTCAGTGGCAGAGCGTCTGTCTCGTAAACAGAAGGTCGGCGGTTCAATCCCGCCTGGGGGCATTTTTTGTTTTTTATCATTTCTTTAATCAAAAAAAATACTTTAAAAATAACACATAGTTTTATTGAAAACTTTCAAGGATTCGGCATAGGCGCCGGAGTTGTACTTTTTGATTTTTTAACACGAGACATACAGAAATTGTAAAAGTATTTGATAAGCATACAGAAATATACAAAAAGGGTAAGTAGGCCGAAATAGAAACTGAAAATTATAGGATCCGGATTTTCGGCTCCTTTTCCGTGGACCGCAGCGATGAGGACGTGAAGAGCAGTTATAGTTAGACCGAAGGTTCTGGAAAAAATGTTACCTTAAAACCTGTAGTAGAAGAGCCCCCTAACTTTGAGCCAAATTTTCTCAGTTTCTGTCAAAGATATAAAAAAGTTTTCAACTGATAAATTTTTTATTATAATGAATTTACTAATTTTCGTCTTTTTTTCAGTTTCTTCTGCTTTTCGAAATGTTCTCTTATTGAAATTCAGTATTTTTCGCTAAATTTATCTAACTACTGGCATAAAGAAGCACTGAAAAGCTTTGCGCACTTTCGCTCTGCGCGTTTTTAGTTGAAAACGCAGAAAAAAAACTCCTTGCGATGAAAGTTTCGAAAGTTTCGCTATTTTTTGCTTCGGAACGTTACAAATGCAGCCTTTCAGGAGTTTTTATATGGTGAGTTGGTAAGTTTTTATACGTTCCGAAGCAAAAACTATCTTAAACTCTGAAATTGTTCATGCTTTGTCGAAAATTAACCTCGCCGATACTTCATAGGTGTGACGTTTTGCAAGTGCAATGTTTGGAAAGTAACAACTTTGCAAGGTTCGCAAAAAAATTAATACGGAAATCAGTTTTTGCTGTTTCTGACTCGTTTTTTAAATTTCACATGCGAAACGTCGCCCTTTTGAAGTCTGCTTTAAAAATGCCGCAGAGCCTAAAAATCTAAAGATTTTTTACTTGCCAGTTTTTAGTGTTGCGAACGTATCAATTTTACTTATATTGAACGTATTTATAAGCGAAAAATACTGTTCAATGAGAGAAATGTACATACCGAAAAACGAAAAAAGTTGAAAGGGAGAAACGAAGAAGAGAAAGAGAACGAAAGGAAATAAAAAAAACCGACACGCTACATCCATCCGGACATACGGAATTTGGTGAATGTTATTAGTAATGATGTGTTTGAATGAAAAAAAAGAATGATGTATTGTGCTCAACTTTAAATAATGTTAAAAATTTTGGATTTCTGAAAAGACGTACAAAATTGATTGTAGTCTGCCACATTACCACTTAACCTTTCAGAAAATGAGTCATCTTTTGCCTCTGGCTTTCTGTTTTGTTGAAAAATAATAGTTTAGATTTCAACACTGTTTATCCACTACCAGATTTCAGAAGGGCAGAATGAAATTCTAAAATTGGAAAATTCTGAATTTTCGGAGCTTCTAAAAATTTCAAACTTTGTGGAAATTATTTTTTTTTTGAATTTCTAAATATCCAAAATTTTGGAATTTTAAAACTTTCTGCGCTTTTCAAATCAATTCATATTCACATTTTTCTTCGAATTTTTTCAGTTTTCACACTCAAAAACGGATTTTTCGAAAATATGAAAACAACTCATTTTTTCAATCCGTTGAGAATATTTTGCTTGAATAACTCGAGAAATTAGCTTTTGCATGATTATCGAATCAGTAACACTTTGTTAATTTCGGGGCGATTTTGAAAGTTTCAATATTTTATCATTTACAATCTTCTTTGCCTCATCCTTATGCTTTTTGTGAGATGTGACAATTGTAGTGAGATGTGACAATTGTAGCAAGGCATAATATGGGTAGAACGGGAAAGAAAAGTTTCATAGTTTTTGGTTTCTGAGGTCTTGCAAACGAAGACGATGGTGTGTAATGTCAAATGAGGGGTTTATGATTTCAAGGGGTTTCCATGTTTATGGATTCGGAGTTGTGGTATAAAAGAAGCGCAGGACGCGTTCAATTGAACCAGTTATTTACTTTTGTATATTTTTTCTCATTTCACAACGCATGCTTATTAGAAACTTATTAGAAACTATTTATTAGAAACTTGGGTAATTAATCATTACCCAATTTTGCGGTACTTAGCAATCATGGGTTATGGCTATCAACCGTGATAAAAGTTTTGAGGTCGAAGGTTTAAAAAGCGAAGCGATCTTACTTTTAACGCCTTCTTTATAACTGAAACATTATACACGACACCTAAAAAAAGGAAAAATGCCTGCTATTGGAATCGAACCAGCGCCGTTACTTGTTCTTCGTTATTTTTTGAATTTCTCAAAAACGCTGAAAATAGAGAATTATAATATAAAATCAGCAAAATTAAAAGAAAAAAACGAAAAACTAAGACTGATCTCGGGCGGGCTCGAACCACCGACCTTCTGTGTGTTAGACAGATGTGATAACCACTACACCACGAGACCGCTGATTGAGAGTGGGCGCCAGGGCATACAAGAAGAGTGACAAACACGCACTGGCCGACCTTCATAAACACAAATTGGACATTGTACTCTCGGCCTGCTTAGTACACAGGTCCTGGGCGATGATGCGCATAAAGGACTCGATCCATATGCGATCCTCTAGAAGTCCGTTTGACACATATCGCGAACAACGAGCTGCGATGAGTCTCATATGTGTGCGATGCGGGAGAGGCTGAATCGAGTGTACCGAATGCGCGCGTATCCTAGATGGATTCTGGGTGGGTGGGCGATATGTGCGATATGGGTCTGATACGGTAGGCCGACTACAACACTCCGAAATCCCGGATGCGCCCATTGTTTACCGTAAATCCACACCGGCAACTTTGTCAATTTTTCGTCAATTTGAGCCTACATTTCTGGTTTTTCGATTATTCCTTCGATGTTTTTTTTGTGAAAAAGAGTTATGGCAGAATAAAAAATCGCTGAATTCTTGCAGAAACATGTCTTTCACTCGTTAATTGCTATGTTTTTCGCCAAAATAGGTGATATTGAGATTTTTTGATTTCACTTTGTAATTATTGTAAAAATCGTATTTTCAGGTGGAATAAAAGGTAAGTTGGTAAGTATACAATAATTACAAAGTTTAAACTATAAAAATTTTCAATTTTTCATGCAATTTCAAAAAAAGTGAAAGTGAGACATTTTTTGAACAAATAAAAAAAACAATTTTTAGCGAATTTTTTCCCATTTTCTTCTGTTTTTGATTGCATATCAAATTTAAATGGGAACTGCCATAAGTCTTTTTCAAAACCAAAACCATTGAGTTTCGAAAAATCAGTAATATGTCGTTCAAAATATAAAAAAATATGGAATAATAAAGGAAAAGTACGAAATCGGAAGACCTGAACAAAATCACATCACAATAGAACTTAACTAATACTTCTAGGAACCCCCAACCAACGTTTTAGTTCATTTCATCGAGTGCCAGCAAGCCAGGCGAGGAGATGCTTTGCGGCGACGGTGTGCCCCATATGCCCCGTATATGCCTCATATTGGCGTCCTTTCCCTGTACCCAATTCATCGGCGCGTCCTCCGTCGCCCATCCATTATGCGTATGCGCGCCCAGGACCTGTGTAAAGTGGTTAGTACTCCACGTTGTGGCCGTGGCGACGCTGGTTCGATTCCAGCAGCAGGCATTGCTTTCGTTTTTTTGTGATTGTTGTTTAAGAGTTAGAGAAAGTGTTAAAAGTAAAACCGATGAACTTTGCTTTTACAACCTTTGGCCCATCTAAGCTTTTCTCCAGTTTAATAGTCATTACTCATGAGAGTCAATGTTTGTTGAAAATTAAGAAAGCAACAACAATGAAGCTTCTTATTCTTGTTTTCTTGTTCACGGTGCCTTTTATTGCTGCGATTTTCCTCGAAGGTGGTGGTGGAGTAAGACATCATGGTGGAGGTGGTGGATTCTCATCATCTTCCTCTTCTTCTGGATCTTCTGGATCTTCAGAAGAACATGGACACCATCATGGGCATAGGCCTCCAAGTAGACCACCCCATAGACCACCACGACCACCCCATAGACCACCACGACCACCCACCAGAGAGCAGTGTGATGATGGATGGCTGGAATTCCAGAGACCTAATGGGATTTGGTGTATTTTGGTAATATGAAACTCTAGAAGACGTTCAATTTTCTAATTTTCAAGGTTGGTTTTTCGGGAGTAACCAATGGATGGTACTTTCAGCAAGATGCTCAGAATACTTGCACCGGTATGGGACCAGTACTCACTGGATTCCAAAATGAAAACGAGCGTATGAAAGTGGCAGGGGTGGCGCTGGACAAATTGACAGCACTAGGACAGACTGTAGGAGGACTTTGGGTTGGAGCAACTAATCTTCCGGGATGCAGAGTTTTTAGCTGTGGACCCAATAACACGTTTCAATGGACCGATGGAGAAACAACAGGAACTGAAGGTTTCAAGTGGGGGATCGGGGAACCGGATAACAGTAATTGGCCGTGAGTGTGTCCTTTTTATTTCTAAAACGAGCTGAGTTTTTTTAACAGAGGAGACACGGCTTGCATTCAACAGTTCATCGTTGCTCCAAACTATGTCGGTATGTGGAAACCTTATTTTGTGAATGGGGATCTTGACAAGTATCAATGCGTTTCGCAAGCTACTCCACCGCCCAGATTTTATATATGCGGAAAGAGAGGAGTCCGCAGATAGTTGATGGTTTCTTCAATAAATGTTGTTAATAAAAGTTTGTTGAATCGATAATTTACTGGTGTATTTATTCTACTCAACCTCAAATGATGTTAAACAATTGGGATTTCAGAAGAAATATGCGAAATAACTCGCAGCCCAGCGAAAATATTAATGTAAAGATTTAACAAGGGAATCTTAACACCTCGTGAACCTAGATTTCGATGAACATTTCAGACTAAA